CTTCACATGTGCTCCCCCACTCATCCAGAGCTCTTAAGCAAATTCCCATCAAGGGAATCAAATTCCCATCAATGGAAGAAGTATGTCCTTTCCTACATTCAGGGAAAACAATGATGCCTTGGTATTGCACCATCATAATGGACCAGATGTGCACATGGAATGATCTTCATTCATTCTTTTCATCTTCCTTACAAATAACTGGTTTTGTATATTAGACTGACACAACAACCATATTTTTAATTTGTGTCAGGTACTATGACATGGTTGCATCCTGATCAATTGAAACCAGCATCAAATATTGATGGCACGTTTTCCCAATATATGTATATTGTCCCAAGGGGAGAAAATAGCTCAAACTGACAATAAGAAAAATTTCTGGAATCACAAATTCATGACAAAATAAAGAAATACCCATGTTCATTTAATTGCCATCTTGGCTTTAAAATAGCTCCATGGTCAGAGCCACTATGCCTTTGAGTACCAGTTGCTGAGGACCAATAGGATGCTGGCCTATGCTGGATTTTGGTCTGATCCAGAATAGGGCTCTACTACTTGTGTTATGCTCTTACAACAGGAATACAACATCTGACATGGGGAGCTGTAGAATTCATTACTTATACTGTGCCTATCACTACATTATGTGTCAAATAAAATATACCATCAAAGGTTATAAGCAATCAGAAACAGAATGCAGACATTCTGGAATTAACCTATATTGTCCAATATTTAAGCAGAAAATCCTTAACAAGACATTCATGGGAGGAAATACTTCACACTGTTATACTTCAGTGACCGTTAGAAATAATATTATCAATAGGAGAATGTATCACAGTTATGGTGGATTATTATTAATACAGCACCATGATGAACTGTTAATCATTACTTAGTGAATTACAAATCTCATATAGAGAAAATAATGCCATAAATAATTAACAGTATATACGGACTAACATAACTATAAGCTAATTATACACCACCTAGCTGACAGTTACATTCATCCGAGCTTTTAGGTCTCTGTATAATTCTGAATTTGCACTTGAACATTTGCTTTTCTTCATGTAGCTTCAGTATTCTCCCCCCCCCCCACACACACCTCATATAAAATGCAGAGGTACTCCAAAGCGGTATTCTGTAGTACCGTTTTAATAAAATATTCAACTGCTTAGATCTTGTTCCTATGATCTATGCAGAATGCAAAGAAGAGCATAGGGTTGACCCCAGGGCTCTCTAAGTCAACAAGCTCAGGAGAGCTCTAAGAATGTGGCTGATTACATTCTGAAGGAAAGCCCATATGCAAAAAACAAAACCACAGGAGTATTTGAAAGGAGCGAAACCTTCATGGACCACAGCACTAACACTGGAAATAAGCCTCTGTTTGATGTTTTAATGGTAAACGTTTGCATGGCTATGGCTGGAGATAAGACTCTGCCTGCTGCCTGGTTCCAGACAGGGTTCTGTCCCTGCTCTACCTGGAGATGCTTAGGGTTGAACCTTCGGCCTTCTGCACACAAAGAAGATGCTCTACCACTGACTCTCTAGCCATCTCGGGCTTAGAAGAATACCTTGGTTTATGATACTGAAAACCACTAGAGAACCAGGAGAATCAGCAAGGTAGGGCTCCTACTATTCATTTCTCAGTCCATGGCAGCTTCCATTCCAAAACCCGGCCGAAAACCAGACTGGAACGGCTCTAAATAATTAGTTTCGGACAGAAAAGCCTGAACATGAGATGCAATCATGTGCGCTGTAGTGGTTTGGAGTTACTCGTGCGTAAGCCGACCCCGTTTGGGTGCTTGGTTAAACTCTTCGGACTGCACAGCCCATCTCTGCTTGACTGCCTCAGTCACTGGCAGAATCTGTCTGTGGGCGTTTCTTAAACCTCTGCCAGCATAAAAGCTGTTTGACACCTAATCGTCTCCGCCTCTCATTGCGCGGGAGTCTCCTGTGCAGGGTGGGCGTGGGTAGCGGAGTGCCTGGGCTCTCTTCACTGACTTCCAGGGAAGAATCCCGGAGCCCTTCCACCTCCTCTTCCCCTTGCTCTCCTGGACTCTTGGTGTCACACGTATTTCCTTCCCCTTCCACCAAGCTGAGTCTCCCCCTTGTGCTAGGACCTTCACCTGCAGAATCTGAGACCCTCTCCTTCTCCCGTGTCTCTGATGTCAGTTCCCTGACATGCGCTGACACTTCTGATTCTACCCTTACTTTACATTTCAGCCTGGGAGTCATTTAGCTGACAGGGAATATTTAAATGTATGAAATAAACAAAATTATCAAGGACCGGCTTCTCTCAGTTTGTTTTTCAGTGAGGACTGAAAACATGGTGATTACAACAGGGTTTGGGGACATAGGCCTGCAAATATATGTTAAGCTGTTTTTTGTTGCTTTTATTAAGTTTAGATTTCCAATACATTTTTCAATGCTTTTAAGTGTTGCAGATGTAATTTTTGTTATAATTTATATATTATTATTAGTCCCTTTGATGGAATTCTGATGTTCAAAGCAGGATATAAGTATTTTGAACAAGTACATAAAAATAGGCTGAAATATAATTTTTAATTATATTTTAGATATAGGCTGATTTTTTTTTAAAAGGACTAGGTGTACTAAAAGGTTTCCTCTTCCTTGCCTTGTATTTCTTGTTTTTTCTGGGTATCACTTTGATTTACTGCCTTCACGTTTAGATGAGCATCAATTACAAGTCTGCATTGCCATCTTAGCGTCAGAAACACCAGTGTTATTTGCTTGTAGTACATGTGAGTGATGGTAATAAATCCTCATCTAATATAAGATTAAGTTATGATCCTAAGTTGTTGTAGCTCAGATTCTTTTCCCATTCTGGAAGAATATATTAAAGTTATGGAATGAAACATGAGGCTAAAAACTTAAGAGGATTGTGAAAGGGAGCTAGACCCATAACAACGCCAAATTTATGATTATGTGAACTAAGCAGTCATTTTTCCCCCCTATTGGCAGAATAAGAGGCTCTTAGTGACTGGCTATAGTTGAAGGATATTAAATCATGACCATGCAAATTTCTATTTGATAGTGCATTTGGATGGTAATATATTAGGTGTTGTAAAAGTACACTTGTCTTTGCCGTAGACCTTTGCTACCATATGATAATAACTTTTAAGAGAATATATACAAATTTCTATTCATCAGCAACAATGAATGAATTTTGTCTCAATATGGTGGACCAGTTTTATTTTTTAAGTAATGTTAAGACTTAAGGCATGCTTCTCTAAGAATCCAGAGAACATTTCTTGTTAACTCTAGTTTTTCTCACTGAATTGCTTCTATGGTTGGTTAATCTTGATTTATAAGCTGTTCTGCCACTGTATTATCTAACCTATATTCATACATGATCTGAAATAGAGCGTCTCTTCACGTGGGGTTGGGTTGCTGCCTCCCCTCCACACAAATAGACAAGTACAGTGGTACCTCAGGTTAAGTACTTAATTCATTCTGGAGGTCCATTCTTAACCTGAAACTGTTCTTAACCTGAAGCACCACTTTAGCTACTGGGGCCTCCTGCTGCCGCCTGGCCGCCGGAGCACAATTTCTGTTCTCATCCTGAAGCAAAGTTCTTAACCTGAAGCACTATTTCTGGGTTAATGGAGTCTGTAACCTGAAGCGTATGTAACCTGAAGCGTATGTAACCCAAGGTACCACTGTAATTGCAGATGCCCGTTTGTATGTATGGGAAACTGCTCCCCGCCTTTTGACGAGTTGGGTCACCACATTCTGCACCAGCTAAACTTTTTAAGGTCAGCCCAAAACTGACTTTTGTAATTAATTGTCACAAGGCATGGCAATAGTCACTAGCTTAAGTGGCTTGGAGAAAGGATTTGAAGGGTTGCAGAGAATAAGTTAGTTTTCACAGGCTGGGCACCTCTAGTTACGAAGCTGCTAGGAACAAACAAGAGGGAGCTGGTGTAACTAGTACACTCTGGGTTGAGTAGTGGATAGATTAGCAAGATAATATAAATGTAAAATACAAATGCAAAATAATGAATAAGTAGTATAGTTCTATGAATGGTTGAGAATCACATAGCAATCATTTCATCCCAAACGGAAGTGGTTCTGTGTTAAATGTCTTCTGTATTCTTCCACTCATCAATATAATTCTAACAAAATATCTGGCCACCTCCTTTCCCCGCATCCTTCCTCTAGTTATGGTAGGCAGACAGCTCATTGATCAATCTACTTTAGCACTGTTGACTCCAGTGGGCACCACATTTTCCCCTGCCCCATAGACCACTTGAAATGCTGTGGAACACCTGAATGAATCTTGTGGACCATGGGTGGTCTGTGTCCACCACTGTTTGGGAAGCCTAGTCTATGCTGACTGTCAGGAGCAACTCTTCAAGGTTTCAAACAGGACTTTCCGCCAGTTCTATCTGGGGTTGAACCCCGAGACATGCAAAGTATGAGCTCCACCACGAAGTCATGCCCCCCCCGGTGCTAACACTATTTATTTGATTTCTGTGTCATCCAGAAGATCAGTAATGGATTCAGGGAAGGCGATAAATAGATTGCACCTTTTTTCATCAAGTAACGTATGGAAGCAAGCCTAATTCTGTCCATTAAAACAAAAGAATATATTTAAGAAACCTTTTTCAGCAGTGTGCCTTTGAAAGTCAGAATATTTACCAACATGACAGTTAAGAGGTGTTAATGAATGATTCATAGTTTATATTTGTATAGGCACCACTAATTTAGAGCTACAGCTCTTCATATGAGCCATTAGGAACTGTGTGATTATATTGCCCATACATGAACAGGTGGAAGAGCTTGAGAAAATAATTCTATTTTGACTATGTAAATAAATTTATGCAAATTGTTTCATTTATGTATTCCTTTTTCTAGACAAAACTGTATATAAAATAAATTATCTGTGCTCAGCCATCCCTCACTCTGAGCATCAATTCTGAACAGTTACTTAGAACAGCAAAAACAAAACATAACAAAAACCACAGAAGAATAAGCACAATTCTTACCACTCCAATGGAAAAGTAATTATTGATGATGCTGTAAGGCACTGGGTCTCCCTTTTCATCTTTATCATTAGGTATGACTTCAAATTTCCACCTGTCGAGCAAGATCTCTGTACTGTTCTCAATATCTTTTAGGATCTTCAGAAGATTCTCGCCTTCGTATCCTGCAAAAACGCACACACGCCAACTTTTAAACAGGACTGCCTTTGCCCTGCTTGTTTTGTTTCCTCACACAAGTTTAAGCACCGCAATCTCACCATGCAGCATTTCACAAGAGAAAAAATGCATTTAATTGTGGAAACCCAGGTCAGTTTTAGCATAATGAAGTTTCTTCAGCCCTGCAAGGCTGATACCATGCCTGAGCTACCATTTCCTTACAGAACTGATGCCAACGTTCCACTGTCACTTGGTCACGTGAGTCCAGCTCTTGTAGTGATGGAGCCACCAGCCACCCTTTCCGCCTCACAACCTTACCTGTGGCATTATAATGGCCTGGGATCCAAGCGCTGCCCGCTTCCCAATTTATATTGTATTATTTTATGTACTGTGGCTTGCCGTTGTTTTATTGATTATAGTTTAGAAATTATTTATTGAAACTGTTGAGTGGATTTCTGTTTAACTTTTATATGTTATTATCATTTAATACTATTCTTATGATTGTTGAACGTTACTTTTTATGTAGGTTGCCTATTTTAAAGTTATGTTTTATTATCCCATTTTTGTAGCATTAGATTGTTATAAGGGATGCGGGTGGCGCTGTGGGTTAAACCACAGAGCCTAGGACTTGCTGATCAGAAGGTCAGCAGTTCAAATCCCCGCAATGGGGTGAGCTCCCATTGCTCGGTCCCTGCTCCTGCCAACTTAGCAGTTCAAAAGCATGTCAAAGTGCAAGTAGATAAATAGGTACTGCTCCGGCGGAAAGGTAAACAGTGTTTCCGTACACTGCTCTGGTTTGCCAGAAGGGGCTTTGTCATGCTGGCCACATAACCCGGAAGCTGTACACTGGCTCCCTCGGCCAATAAAGCGAGATGAGTGCCACAACCCCAGAGTCGTCTGTGACTGGACCTAATGGTCAGGGGTCCCTTTACCTTTTTTTAGATTGTTATAAGATGTTCATTTTTTGTTTCTTCAGCTTGTAAACCGCCTTGAGTATTGAAAGATAGAAAGACGGTATACAAATTAAAAATGATGATAACATAAAACATAGTACATGACAGCCACCTAGCATGGTTTAGAGACAGTGGCTCCTAGTCTCCTGGACTATTACAGTACCAGACAGCCATGGTGTGTGGGGGGGTGGGGTGGGGGGGTGTAGAAGTGACAGCAGCTGCTGAAAGCTATAACAAAGGGTGGCAGCAAAGTAAGCCAGAGCAGTTGCTATCAGCAACACTATACAAAAACCCAACTCAAACCTGGTGATGGCTTTGCTCCAGGCCAAGGAACTACAAAAACAACTTCAGCTTTCCACCAAGCAAATGCAAAATAGCTCACCCTGCTTTCACGGAGCCTAAATTAACAATAACTTACAATTTCTATTTATTGCCTTTATATGTGACTTTTCATCAAGGTGCCCAAAAACATAGTTGAGAACAGTCTAGTTCATCCCATCGTTGGATATACAAGTAGACTATTTCTTTCTTAAAGCACTGAAAGGGATTGGGGGCTTTCTACATCCCACATATCAGCTCCTGCATGTCACATGGAAAAACACTTTTAAAAAATAGAGTGGGTTTCTGATATGGTACTGAGGTGTGCGATTAGAGGAGGTGAGAGGGAATCAAATATAGGCTCGGGAGTAAGCTTATGTTGTTTTTTTAGCAAAGTTTGTTTTTACTGTTTTGTATTTTATAATTGGTATTTTCAAATGTAGTAAGCTACCTTAATTCCCAACTTGGGTTAAAGGCAGGCTATAAATATATTAAATAAATTGCCTTTATTAGCTGTAGCTAGCTTTCAAAAGGAGCAAATGCACACCACTGTTAAACAGAAACATCTTATTTAATAAGATCAGAGAAAGCTGAGAAGTCTAACCTGAGGAAAAACTTTCCATAAAGATTTTATTGTTTCAGTAATCACGCTACTTAAAAGTCCTTCATCAGCTGAGAATTGTTAGAAAATGCATGGCTGCAACTATGTGATAGCCATCATGTGTCTATAGTGTTTGAAAGGTTACCTTTTTCTTTTTTCTTTTACTATGTGGGCACAAAACAGTACCGTTTTATTCTGTGAACCACCCTGAGATGATGAAGGGTGGCATATAAATCTAATAAACAAACAAAATAAAAAAATACTGTGTCAATTATCTTCCCTACAAATGCGCACCACACACATGCTTGTTTGATAAACAGGAGAGGGGGCTCAATCCTTTTAAAAGATAATGAGATCTTATCGTCTCACCATAAAAGCTAATAAATTAGTACTGCCAAGCAATGCATTCAGTAGCAATGAAGTTGATTCTTTAAAATTGTTACAGGTTATTTGTTTAATAATTCATAATCCATGCTAGGAGTTTGCACCATTGAGAAGGGAAAATTACTCACCAGCAAACAAATTTGTTGGCCTCCCTTCTGTTCTCCAATCCTATGGAAAAGTTTCAGGAGGGGGAAAAAATCAGTGTTGTGGCATCAGCTACCAGGGAAAAGGAGGCAAAGAATAGTAAAAAGAAGAGAACTTGAGGGCTTATTTTTTCCCCTCCTAATTTAAACAGACGGCTTTCTAAGTGGTTAAGTGCGAGTCAAGAGTGGACAGTCCATAAAGAAAGAAGTAACAGAGTTCAGTGATGGAGGGTCCAAGAAGAGGTATGGTGACAAAATGAATTACCATTGTGCAGACTTGCATTGTTAGGCACACCCCTACTTTCTCCCATTCTGCAGAACATTCCAGACAATCAGAGGAAGTGGAAAGAAGCTCCATAAGGAAGGAGACTACCAGTTATGCATCTTATGGAGCACACTGACAAATGTTTTCTCCTCTTGCTGGCAGCTTGATCCGCATACCAGCTTTCACATAAAGCCTGAAAACATAGTCATTGCATGAAGTGGCTATGCATATATACAGGCAGATTATCTCCTCTCTGGATAAGGAATGATTAAGCCTTTCAGTGGCTTCTAGCCACGATGGCTATTGTCAGGGGACCGCCATCGGAACAGGGAAGGAAAGCAGAGGGGCAGTTGGGTTACAGGGAACCTCCGAAAATCTTGCAAAGCAGTTCTTCTTCCTGTGGTGGGGAAAGCCACACCTCTAGTGGGGAAGAGGCGAAGGGACCAGAGGATGCTGCTGGGAGCCTCAGCACCCAGCCAGGAGGGAAGCACGCCTCTTCCGTCGCCCACCCTGCGCAGAGGTGAAAAACGCAAAGAAGGAAGGAAAAGGCTGGGGATGACTAAGCTCATATGTTGGGGGAGGACCCAGATATGACCACTTCCGGATTCTGCTAGCGATGGAGGCAGACATGAACTTGTGGTTAACAATAACATTACACGAGTAAAACAGCAAGATGTGGAAGAAAGTGATTTGGAACAAGACAGACCAAGAAGAATCATTCAGGCTCTGAGGTATGTGTTCAAGACCAGCTGAAGACAACCAAGAGGGAAATATATTTTTCTCATTCAAACTGGATGTATTCGTGATCCAAAAGAGTTACCATGAAATTGGTTAAACTTAGTTGTTGGTGGCTTTTTTGCATTGCAGCAAAGATTCTCAACACCAATACTAGTGAAGCTGGGAAAAGTCCAAAATATATGTGCATAGGAAGGCAGGATTAAAGTGAGCACAAAGTTCATGGTGTGAAAGTGTGAAAGCTAACCAAGAGTGCCAAAAAGCTACAACCAAACAAAACTAGTATGCGGGACTTTGAAGCCCTGGACAAAGGAACCAGAGGAAGAGGAAACAGTCTAAATGTAAAAGATACCATTTAGTTAAAGCTATGAACTCGCAGTGGAAGAGCAAAGGAGAACAAACAAAAAGCAGAAGACTTTTTGGAAGCTGGCACTGAGGACATAGAGAAAGAGATATGTGTGAAATAATTTTCATTTATCGATGACTGTATTTTTATCCTCCTCATTTGTTTAGGAAGCTCAGAGCAGCTTTCATGAATCTTCCACGCAGGAACTGATCATATTCTCACCTGCTTAACTTCAGCAATGTAAGAGTGTCAGGTGCTACTTTTGTAATACTAGACACCAAGTTTCAAATGTAAGGGATTTAGAAGAGTCTTCTGGAGACTGAAATGTAGACAAGCATAATTAAGGCCATTTACAGACTGCTTTGATACCTTAAAGCGGTATAACTTACATAATCACAAGGCCTCCTGTTTCCTTGGCAATATCTTTCTCATGGCATCTTGTGTAAGTTTCTACTGTCCTCCCCTTTATACAGTGCTGGATCTACAAAAAAATGTGTGGGTTTTATTTATTCTTTGCCTCCAGGAATCCTGGTAGATAGCACCAGAAGACTGATTGTCTGAAATCTACTGCAGGATGAGAAAAGAAGGAAAGAACTAAAAAACAAACAAACATCCAATATATTAGCATTGCATGATTTGAGACTTGGTTTTTAACATCCCTGAAAAAAATAGCACTAAACTTCGGATCATTTTTTCGGGAAGGCCAGGAGCAAAGAAACAAGCATTTGTTTCTAGATTATTGGGGGGGGGGGATGCTTTTATGTTATGTACAATCCTGCTTTAAAAGGTAAAAATAATTGCTATTTAGAAATTTCATGATTACAAACTCATAGAAATTGCTAACTTTTTGTTAGCCCTGTGAAGGTTTGGAGCCGCCAGCTCAATCCCTGACCTCTGCATATTCATCCAAACTTCCGTACAGAGCCTGTACAAAAAATTGGATGAATATACAGAGACAGAACCAAAAGTCTTGGTCCACAAGTTCATTCTCCCTAATATGTTATCAGCACAGGTTGCACTGACATCACTACAGAATAATATCACTCATGCCTCTGCCATTCTGATTTTATGGGTTTGTCTTACATGCAGTAGTGCTAAGTGCTGACATGCAGCAGTGAAACCAAGTGAGATCTTGTGCTCAGAAAGTGGGGCAAGGTCAGGTTACTTTTGTTCCAGTTCTCGGGGACTTCTAATGATGGCTGCAGAAGAAGATGCAAGGCACTTCTTGGCTTTATGTTAAAAGGATGGAGAAATTGGCTTGGTTTGGTAACTGACTGCCACTTTCTGGACCACTACACGAAGTGAAAGACAAGTTATCTTTTGAAATATGTCTTTTCCAAATATCTCAATGCAACTATGCAACCAAAAAAACACACCAAAAAAACCACCACTCACGCAAAAGCAAAGTTGTGCCCAAAATGATTCTCTCATTGAAAACGATGTACCAAAAAATGCATCACATTAGAGAAAGATGATCTTTAAAAGCATGCATATTAGGCAAAACAGCAAACTAAAAAGAACACACAGTGGGCTAAATTCACAGAAAAATACACATGAACTTTCATATGGAGCTTTTTAGTTAACAAAAAATCAAACTGATGTGGGAAAAGGGAGGACTGAACTTGAGACTGAAAAGTGAGAGAAACCAAAATTGACAGATCTGTCCATTCCTAGCTTTCCCTACTCCTCCTACCAGAGTAGGGCAATGTTCATTGGCTGGCATGACTGTGATGTGCAGGGACTGAGAAGGAAACATCAAGGCGACAATGCTAAATGCAACCAGAACTGTCATGTTTGAACCAATGAGCCACTGCCTGATTGCATTGCTTTGGAGAAAAATCATTCCATACCCTGGAAACAGGAACGGTGGTTAAAGAACTGCATGCAATACACCTTTACAAAGGAAATTTATTCTACATGTTAGCAAGTGAAATAATGTTTTATTTACCTCCTCCCCATCTCAGACACCTGGCTAAGTCATTCCCAGTTCCAAGGGGAAGAATAGCAACTGGAGGGTGCTTAATCAGATTTGCTTTTTCTGTGGATGAAAGAAGTAGATACTGTTCAATGGTAAAAAGCAGATGAGCCAATGTATAGATCAAACAAGTATTTAATTGCACAAATATTGTGGTCAGATAATGTTTTGACTCAACCATTAGGCTGTATTACTGAAGGAAAAAAAGCAGCCTTCCAAATTAATTGAGTTATCATTTTTCCTGCAACTGCCATTCTCATACATTATTCCATTATTTATTATTTTAGACACTTTTGGCATATAGCCTATTAGCCACTGACTAGCTGCCAGTGCTTCATATTTCAGTGGGAGAATCACACAGCTCTAGAGCTCTGGCACTTTCTGACTTATATTGGAAAAGAAGCAAAGAAGATAATATTTCAACTTTTTGTTCAAGTGGCCATCTTTTGATAATTGTTATTCTTTATAATTAACTAAACTGTTCCATATATGTTCCATATCCACCTTTATATGAAGCCAGGGTACATTATAAATTAAGTAAATACATGAATGGATGCAAAACGATGGAAAAGAAAACGCTTCCTTTCTGAAGTGAGTAATTACAGAGAGATATCTACACTTCATAGGTGCTTGGAGGGACCCTGTAATCTCATTGAACAGGAAAATTGCACACACACACCCCATACACACTGTTCAGGTGTGCTTTCATGGGGTTGCAGCTAATACTACTCCTACTCAGAGTAGACCCATTGAAGTGAATGGCATGGCTAACTTGGGTTCATTCATTTCAATAGGTCTGTGCCAAGTAGAACGCAAGTTGGCTACAACCTACTGTCTATTCCAAAGATCAAGGTGATTGAATAGGAGTTCTAAGTTGCTTCAAGAATCTACTTTCTTAGAACATTCCATAAGTGGACCTTCTCTACAGAAACTTTATATAGAAGGTCGGTGGCAGCATCAGAAACCTTGAAATGAGCAGCTCAATAAAATTAGTCTCTCTCTGTGTGGAGGGAGGGGGCATTCAAGATTCTGGCTAAAATGGGTGCTTTCAGACCTGTCGAGTAAGCTGTGTTGATGGCTCCCACAACAAATAACTGACCCAAATGGTCTTACTGATTACGAGCCAGCTTCCAGTGTTCCTATGACATAGAAGAAGAATACTCCTATACTTCTTCATATTAAGAGAGCCAATTTTAATGAGGCATATGCTCTAATACTGCCAAAAGTCCAGTGTAATGAAAGAGGATCAGCACTAAAATGAGATATTCTCTATAAACAATATGTGAAAATGGTTATAGAGAGCTTAAGTTAGAACTTCAACCGCCTCTTTCAAAAATTCCCCAAACACTCCTAACCAACTTCCTTTCTGCAGCCTCCCCTCTTTTGATTACTTTAGCAAGGAGCAGAGGAAGTTTTCCTACTTCTGATGAATCCCAAGAGTCAACTGTACATAAAGCTCAAATCGCAGACCTTAGATAAAAGGTTCAAAAAATAGAGTTAATCGCTCAAAAAATGGCACGTTACCTATGCAGTCCAAAATCCATCCCACAGTTCCATCTCCACCACATGCTAATACTCGAAAGTCAGACACATCTCGGAAAAAATTCAACCTGAAAGAGAAAGGACGTGTGTGAAGTTATGACCCACAAGCTTGTTCTGTCAATGCTCTGTGGACAGAATACTTGCACAGCAGTTCCTCTGCTCAGCTTGCAAGCACGCGCTTCATGATGAATATAATTCTCAGATACAATGGGCTATGCTATAAGGGAACCAGTCATAAGATGCTAATTACTGCAAAGTGATCCAATAAAATTAGTTTCATTATAACATGCAGTTTATTATGGTGAGCAGTAAAATATTCATCTCCTGGGAACTATATTTTAATGTACGAAGATTAACTAGCATGTAGATGCCAAGTAGCTATAAAGAACATCATTTTTCAGAGAGGGATCTATGCAACCTATGGCTGACTTGCAAGAGTTTTCACATGATTTCGAAAGCCAAATTAAAACAATGGAACATGAGCCCCCTTCACATGTTACTCACATGCTATGGCAAAATGCTGTGAAGCAGGCATCATGCGATTACTAAGGAGTGAGGCCCTAGCTGTGGTGTTGTCCTCAACTGAGGAGCTCCTGGCCCTGAGCCTGGCACCAACAGCAGCCTGGGTGTAGGCTTCCAAGTAATCAGAACACCAACATGACTCAATGCCCTGAAAACATGGAAGTCTACATGCAAGCAGATACTCACCCGAAGGCTTCTTTTCAGCATACAGCTATATGATAATACAGTCATACCTTGGAAGTTGAACAGCTTAGTTCCCAAACGTTTTGGCTCCTGAACATCGCAAACCCAGAAATGACTGTTCCAGTTTGCAAACTATTTTTGGAAGTTGAACGTCCGATGGGGCTTCTGCAGCTTCCAATTGGCTACAGGAGCTTCTTGCAGCCAATCAGAAGCCACGCTTTGGTTTTTGAACGTTTTGGAAGTCGAACATTCGACTTCCAAGGTACGACTGTACTTGGAGATCTGTAGACTGGACCAGCCAGTGCGTGCAATGGAACATTATCCTGCCTCTGAGTCATCACCATTTTGTCTTCACATTAGTAACGCACAAAGGGGGCTTCATGGGCTATATAGTGATGTTACATGAACGTCAACAAAATGAGCAATGTTTTTCAAACTGCTTAAAATGTATGGGAAAGAGCCCTATTAGAAAAGTTAATGAACAAAACTTAAATTAGCAAGGGGACAAAGGATGTCTTCAACCCATTGTGGTTCCCCCTTTATCACATGCACAGCACAAGCAGACAATGACCTATCCCCAACAGCATATGAATCAATATTGCTAATCTGACCCAACAACCACCACCTCGTGCATGCAAACAAACAAACAAACAAACCACACTGTAACCAACCAGGCTCTGGGCTCTCCAGTGCAATGCCAATGTAAATAAATAAATGTACAATAAAGGGCCTAATCACATGATGCTGACGCAATACCCCACGTTTCCTTGTTCATTTGGTTGCTTTGTAACATAAGAAAATCTTCAATAAAAACTAATTAAAAGAATTATTACAGCAGATTACTTGGCTGATAAAGTTCCAAGCTGTTATGTAGATCAGTAATTCACTTGTTATTAAAAAATGCACATGTGTAATCACAGAAGATACACACATGTATATATATCTGAACTACTGGTGTATTGTGTGTTTCCATCAATAAATTTCATCAGTGTCTAGTATGCTCATAAAATAGAGATGACAGATACAGTGAAAGAAAAACAAATTACTTCTGTTAAATAAACTGTTGGTTTTTTTGGGGGGGGGTGAAATTACTTGGGCTGCACACGTTCTAAGTGAAACACACTTGATAAGTCACATAAGTTTCCAGTTCTGCACCATTTATTATCTGTTAATGACAAAACACAATAGAACATGGAAAGAAATCAGTATCAATGACAGGAGGAATAATGAGAGGTAACATCACTACTCATTCTGAAGAGAGAAACTAGCTATGAACATGATATAGGCCAGCACCTGCTCAGCCTTAATTTACTGGCAATATTTTTGCAGGCATAAACTAGAAATAGATACATTTCAAGGACAAATGTATTTATACTGGCCATAGCTTACAAATTTATGAAGAAATGCATGTTGCAGGCTGAAGAACAGATAAACATGTTGAAATAGTAGTACTGAGGTTGACTGTGAGCAATTTTGATAATATGGGCCCTAATCAATATTTGAATTCCGAAAAAGGCATTAGGAGTCATGATATATATATTTTTAATTCTTATTTATGTATTTTTCTTTTTTAAGGGAAGTTCATCCCTGGTTGAATAAGGACAGGGGTCAGCAACGTTTTTGTGGCTTGGACCAGTTCATGGTCCTGCAGATGCCGGAGTGTATGTGTGTGCGCTGTTTCTGGCGCTCCTTCTGGGCAGAGGAGGTGTGCGCAGCTTCCCATTGGCTGAATGCGCTTCCTGCAGCCAATGGGAAGCCAGCCAGCATCGCAGAAGGCAGTCCCTGCTCTGCGCCAGTTGAGCGCAGCACACGCGAGTCAACTGAGCAGGCGGCAGGGGTCCCTGAGCATGTGGTGGGGGTCCATGGGCCGGTTGCTGACCCCTGAATAAGGAGAACATTTTACAAGCAATAAAGAAAAGAGATATTTAATTTAAAAGTAGCAGTTATACTTGTTTATAATAAGGAAACGGTTGGTTGATTGTCATTCCCCAAAAACATCACCTATAAGCTTCCAACCACCCTCCAATTCACAAAGACAATGCACAATACTATTTATCTAGACTTAGACCCTGTTTTCCATGTAAACCGCTGAGAGTGGATTACATCCAGATAGTCTACAGGGCCAGGCACCCTTAGTTTCAGGAGTAGGTTTGTGTCATTTACCTTTACACAAGTCTCTGGTCCATGTATATAGGTTTGAATATATAGCTGTGATCCACAGGCAGATAATGTCTCCACACCATTTTAATCTGACTCATTTCCTGTCCTTCTGGTGTTTATCTATTATCTATACAGATTTGATACATATATATGCCAACTCAGACAAACTGAACTGGTGGTGGCCAGCCACAAATTGAAGCACCAGTGATTCCTAATTGGCAGCACCCTTAAACATCTTTCTAGATTCATCGCTGTACCAAGATACCCAGATTTTATTGGTGGCCAATAGGGATGGGGTAACTGTTCACAACGGGGATGCCTGCAAATATGAGCATGCTGGCTTGAATGGCAGAATGCAGAATTGAGATGACCCACCTCAAGCAGGCCACCTGCCATGATTCTGCTTGTACCCCAACCCTGCTCTCCAGTATCTATTGCACCCTCTTCTCCTCCAATATTTTCTAAAAGGGGAAGGTGATAGCAGAAAGCAGAAAATGGCAGCAAACAAGAGAAAAGACCCGAGGACGTACCCTGTGGTAGGAAATCATGATATGGGTGTCTTTTGTCAATAGCAGCGATGGCAACGAAACCCTCAAAATGCCATTGCTCAGCAGAGGAGAGACGATTTTCCAGTTTGTAGCCCAACTCTATTATACCTGTCCGGTCGTGGAGAGGATGATCAGTTGATGGAAGAGAAACAGGAGCAGACTGGGGAGCTGGATGACCCCAGTGGGCCTAGCAGTCTTGGGGAGGAGAAGTATGGGTCCCAGGAGATGTCTAATTCTTATGGTAGAGGCTACGAGCTGGAAGATTGAGGATCAGATCCTAGGGAGGAGCCAGGCAGGCTCTGAGAAGAACGTTCTACCCAAGAGACACTAGATGCCCCAAGCCAAAAAACGACTGCAGTGACACCACCTCCTGTGAGTGAGGAGTCCCTCCATTCTGGAAAGGCAACTGGGAGCCAGTCTGATGCTGAGCCAGCTCTGGCTCTGCCTCTGTCTCTAGCGGCAACAGCACCAGAGCAAACAAGCCTTGTGAAGCCAATCTGCTCAATGGAGTCCTTGCTTGCACTGGAACCTGGGCTGCTTACCACACAAACAGCTGTGCGACAGAGGGCATGTTGCATGTTGGAACATCTTGGCTTGTGCTTAGCCACATGTGCTAACCTCTGATGCACGTGTTGAACCTGTGCTTTGTAATCTGATTTATGTACCACTCTGACATATGCCTTTGGCAGAAATGGTGTTAAGAGTAAACCATTCTTCATCCAAGGCAATACACAGAATGAAAAGGTCAGCCGATTCACAAAGGAAAAGAGAAGACCCAAATAAATAATGTTGCAATCTTGTGTATCATTCCGAGTGGACAGAAAGAAGCTTTGAATGATAAAACTTAATTTGCACAAATATAGCATTCTTAATAAGTTAACACAGATGCAACAATGAGGGATCCAATTGCCAGAGTTTAAGATAGCATGATTTAGACATTTCAAGCATAGAACGGAGTGGACTATGGAATCTTTCTAGGAAAAATGGTGGCCTCTCTGCCAGTTGCACAATTGTTGTTCACTTAGAAGGCAAATAATGACTGAATTTCAAATGCTTCAGCATAATTAAATCTACAGTAACAGTTGTTGACAGAGCTGGATGGCTCCTATAGAGAGACATAACCACTGAACAGTGAAACTCGTTTCAGGGTAAAAACAAGTGCTCATTACAAATTGTGCAGTGTATCAGAATGGCAATTTTCACGTCACCTTGTTAACTGTGGCTCTTTATAAATATACGGTACTTTTCATATTTGGGCTCAGCTGTTGAGCCTGCATCGTTTCTCCAATTTACACTACTTTTCTCATTACTAATTTTCAAATATCAACTCTTAATATTAACTGAAGGGTTCATTTTGGCCTCTCAAACTTACAGAGTGTGTTTACGAAAATGTTAAGTTACTACTAAAGCACAGCTTTTTTTACTGGAGGACTGGAAATTACTGAATGCATTGCCCTTTATTTTCCCTGAATGACCCAGGAAAGCAGAGACCTACTAGCCTTTCTGTGCTAGGCAAAGCATTAATAAGCCCCTCAAAAGAGAGTTTAATACACATGACCTGCTCAGCAGCAAGATAAAGAAGACAGACCTCAAGAGTACTCAGCCTCCACCGGCAGCACACTTATTTATTTATTTGCTGCCTTTAGATGCCACCTTTTTGTCCAAGGAACTCAAGGTGGCTTAAATTGTTCTGCCTCCTCATTCATTTCCCATAACAACCCTGTGAGGTAGGTCAGGCTGAGAGGAGTGACTGGCCCTAAGGCCATCCAGTGAGCTTCATAGCACAGTGGGGATTTGAACTCTGCTCTCTTGGTCCTTGCTCAACATTCTAATCATTATAGTACACTAGTTCTCACTATAGGTAAAAAGGGTAAAGGTAAAGGACCCCTGGTCAGTTAAGTCCAGTCAAAGGCGACTATGGGGTGTGGGCTCACTTCACTTTTCAGGCCAAAAGAGCCGGCAGACAGCTTTCCAGGTCATGTGGCCAGCATAACTAAACCGTTTCTGGAGCAACAGGACACCGTGACGGAAACCAGAGCACACGGAAATGCTGTTTACCTTCCTGTCGCAGCAGTACCTATTTATCTACTTGCACTGGCGTGCTTTCAAACTGCTAGGTTGGCAAGAGCTGGGACAGAGCAATGAGAGCTCACCCCGTCATGCAGATTTGAACCACCGACCTTACAATCAGCAAGCCCAAGAGGCTTGGCGATTTAGACCACAGTGCCTGCTTGCTATAGCTCTCACTATACCACAGTGTAGCTCCTCCTCTGTGCCATGCAAGTTACACTCTGGATCACTGATAATAATTTGTGGGACATGCTGGTCAAATACTGACAATCAACTCATTAAGTGGAAGTGTTTCCAGCCACAGATTTGCTTGGTCATCTGGAATGACACACTTTAAAGGTTAGAATTAGCACCTTGACTTTCCTTTGGAAATTCACAGGAAGCCAGCACAAGACAAGATTGTTGCAGCCTATGCCTGTGTGTATTGAAGCAGCTGGAGTCTCTGAGAGGTCTCCAAGGGTGGTCCCATGACAGGCATTGTTTGGAGCTGTCAAAACACCGAACTGTCACAACTTAGACTCAGGGCAGCTGCCTTTAAAATGGGTGGGGCTACAAAAGGATAGTGCTTTAATTGGGAGGGGGAAAAGCAGCTAGCAGTCGTAGGGCAAAGGCACAGTAGTGTGTGAGAGTGGCACCCACCCTTTGACTTGTTATTTGCAAGATGGTTCCCACTGAACTGAGCATATTTGCAAAGCATTCTGCAAAGAGAGATTTGTGTACAGCTAGAAGAACAACAGAATTGCAGATATGGATATTTATTGGAAACTGACAATTATATTAATTTTTGTAAGATTTTTTCAAAACCCCCATGAAATATTGGCTAGATAATTAATCAGAAATTTCTTGAAGTCACTTCCCTAACTTTTCTAAGACAAGTTGGACTTTAAACACAGTTTCTTAAATGCAGAAACCGAGAACGGGAAAGTACCTGTACTTCAAATTTTAGTCTTCGCTGAACACTGCCCTCTTGTGGCTGTACGCTACACCTTATCCTTGCAAACCTTTTAAAATATATATTCACAATGCAATCCTGCACACATCTACACAGAAGTAAGGCCCACAGAGTGCAGTGGGGACTATATTGAAGTCGCCTGGATGACAGAACAGGCTGGTATTTCATGTGGTTGCCACTCCACAACAGAAACTTATTTCACATAATGCATCTCAGTAATCCAGGAATTTCTTTGGCTTCTGTGGGGCTGTCATTTTATACTAAGAGCTTCAGACATGCTGTATGGTGTGTGTGTTTTTTTAAAGAGCAAGAACCAACATCTTCAATTTAGCCTTGAAGTAAATTAGAAACCAGTAATGCAGTATTTTGTCATGTTGGGACTTACATGCTTCTGGGAGCTAATGCCTGCCTGTCAAACTAGGTGTTGGGCTGCTTAAAGTTCTGAACTGCTTTCAAGGGCAGCTCTGCCTGTAACACGCTACAGTAGTCCAGACAACTAACCATCAGGGGAAGCACCACAGTGGCAAGATCTCTGTTTCCTAGGAAAGATGTAGATGAGCCTGAGAAGAGGTGCTTGTGCTCACAGCAGCCCTCACTGGAGAATCCAGGAGACAGGTTTCTTCAATAGGAATACAACTGTAGGGCCACTCACCTTCCATCAGTGGGAATCAGGGAAACTCAGTCAATCAAAGATACATTTGCCCAGGAAGTAAGATGCTAAGAAACAAGGAGAGGCAGGAAGGAGAAGGAATAGAGAAGCAAGAAGAATAGAGGGGTAGAAGGCATGGATTTCAAAAAGAGCCAATCGACATGGGGGGAATTTGGGATACAGGAAAAAGATGATCTGCATGCTGATAAAGTAAAAGAATTAGTCAGGGAAAGGAACTATGAGTTAGTGAAATTTAAGGACAAATTGCAACTTTCACACAAGTTATGGTTGTCATCTCTCTCCATGCATTGCTTCTGCAGTTAAATTGATGCTGCCAATACACTGAAAATAATCCCCCCCTCCCAAAAAAAACCCCTCATGTTTGATGACATTTAGGATTTCACTTACCCTGGCATTGGCCCATTTCCAGCAAGGCTGTAAACTTGACGAGGATTCAAAAGATACTGAAATTTTCTGTAAATTCTGTATTTGTGGGAAAAAAGGAGAACTATTTAGCAAGCCCTATTAGCTAGTCAATTGGTAATCCTAAATTAAACCAAGATATTTGGATTGAACAAAATCTTGCCCACCTGAGCTGAATCAACTAGTGTGTGTTGGTTTAACCATTATGATTGCATATAAGAATCTTACAACGCATGAAAACAGAAAAAAGGTACGTAGCTGCATCTCTTATTTAAGTTGCACCCTCTTGTAAGTTGGTCACATCTGAACAGCCTGATCATTTATCAAATGTTTATTAATGCCAGTCAAATCCTTGGGAAACCAAACTCATGCACTATTCCTAAGCCTGGATGTGATCCAAAGGAAGGGGGAAGTCACTGCAGGGTGACTGGGTTTGACTCATGGATGGATGAAATACTACAATGACGATGACTAAACTAGACTTCTGACAGGTGGATATGCTTGGGGTTTTAACAGGACTGAACTTTTCCACAAATTATTATCAGTGCTTTCCCTGCCTTCTTTTGGAGTAAGAAAAGAGTTGATATGCTATGCTAATCTATTTAATAAAGTCTTCCAAAAAGAGAAACATTTATTTGGAAGAGCCTGCGAGACAACTAGAGTGAAAGGTCCATCTTGATTCTTATGCAACCGTCCGTTTTTGTGGCATTACAACCTTGACCCGTCAGCCACAACAGAACTCTCACTCTCTCTCTCTCTGCCCCCGCCCCCCAAGCTGGCATCGACCTTAGAGTTTGGAGACATAAATTTAACTCTTACAAAGCTGCCTCCTTCCACAAAACACTGGAATTGGAGAGCGCTGGTAAAATCATGGCCTTTCATTGCAGTTTAAATCTGTTAGTCATAAAGACCCCCCATCCCATTCCATGTATTTTCCTTAAACTAGAGATATATGTTTTGTTTTTGAAAAGCAGCTTCCCTTCTCCACATATTGTGACATTTTCCTTATATGATAAGTATAGGTAAAAGGTAAAGGGACCCCTAATCATTAGGTCCAGTCGTGACCCACTCTGGGGTTGCGGTGCTAATCTCGCTTTATTGGCCAAGGGAGCCAGCGTACAGCTTCTGGGTCATGCGGCCAGCATGACTAGGCTGCTTCTGGTGAACCAGAGCAGAGCACGGAAATTCCGTTTACCTTCCCACTGGAGCGGTACCTATTTATCTACTTGCACTCTGACGTGCTTTCAAACTGCTAGGTTGGCAGGAGCAGGGACCGAGCAACGGGAGCCCACCCCATCGCTGGGATTTGATCCGGCGACCTTCTGATCAGCAAGTCTTAGGCTCTGTGGTTTAACCCACAGCGCCACCCGCATCCCCATATGATAATTATATAGGCATTATTTTATTTTTAGCACATGCTTGTCTACAGCACTTTTTGAAAAATGTCTGGATCACTAAAGTGCCAGAAAGTGCTTTAACTCATGTACCCTTGTACAGATCTTGCTTGGCAAGGCCAAAATTCCTCCCAGGAACCACATCCAGGATTCAGAATTAAATGCAAATAAGATGCCCACCCCTCGTTTCCAGGATGTGAGAGATGCTTCTTTGTGGTTCCACTTAGACTTTTTTTATATATCCTTGAGGCTTTCTAAGCTTATGCTTCCTGGTTCTAAGGAAACCAAGGCTGTGTGCACACCAGGCATTTAAAGCAAATTTCCACACCCCAAAGAATCATGGGAACTGTAGTTTGTTAAGGGTGCTGGGAACTGTAGCTCTGTGAGGGGCAAACAACAGTTCCTAGCAGGTTTGCGGGGAGGCACGTGCTTTAAATGTATGTACGCAGTCCAAGTTTATGATTTCCAGAACTTCCACCAGCAACATTTAGCCTTAATAGGTTCCTTTCATTTCTCTTTGTTACTTTTTAAGGTTGATATACTGCTTGACTGCAGTAAAACCTAAAATACTGAATCATATCATTTTACTTAGGAAACTATTTGGCTTTGAAACGGTAACAGATTATTTCCTTGGTCACCATCCCACCATCTTGTTTACCCTCATCTTTAGTAGGGCAGGGAGGAAGACTTTAGTAGGACTGTGAATGAAGACTTGTCTTTAGCAAAATAATCACAAACAATCTAAATATTTGGTATTGTCCTAGTTCATTTTTATTGCTAGTAATGTACACTGGATCACATAATCAGAAGGGGAGGATGAAATGTAAGACACACATTTTCCCTCTCAAGTATTAACACAAATAATTGACTTCCTCACAGAAAAACATTGGAAAGAATCATGAGCAATAAATGCATACCTTTCTCCTTGTTTTCCACCACTCTTAGGGTTGACGAAAACTAGAAGCGGATGAGTACCCCGAGTAGGCGTAATCTAAGAGAATTGCCACAGAAACCCATTAATCTTGAGTTTTTAATTCTGATTTTCCTTATATCTACAGTGTGTGGGGGTGTGTGTGACACTAACTCATTGCTAAAACATTTTGTTAAAATATAAGTGAAATTTGTTTTTATTTTGATGCTCACACAAGGTTACACTACTTGAGACTTCAAAATGTTTCTGGTGGGGTTGCTTTTTGTTTTTGTTACTATGTATTTTTGTGTTTGTATATTATAAAGCTCCCTGTAATCTTCAGATGAAGGGCGGTATAGACATTGAATTTATAATAATGATATTAATAAATACATTTTTTATTTTTAAAAATCCATACTTCATTCAACACATCACCATGTAATGGTGTTTAATGTAATAAGAGTGTATAATGTAATAACTGGATAATATTAAATCAGCTCCTTAGTGCAACTTTAACATCATTTATTCCCAATTTTAATAACTATTCAAAACGATCCTAAATACTTTATTCATAATACTCATGTTGTTAAGGTAAAGGTAAAGGTACCCCTGCCCGTACGGGCCAGTCTTGACAGACTCTAGGGTTGTGCGCCCATCTCACTCTATAGGCCGGGGGCCAGCGCTGTCCGAAGACACTTCCGGGTCATGTGGCCAGCGTGACACGCTGCATCTGGTGAGCCAGCGCAGCACACGGAAACGCCGTTTACCTTCCCGCTAGTAAGCGGTCCCTATTTATCTACTTGCACCCAGGGGTGCTTTCGAACTGCTAGGTTGGCAGGCGCTGGGACCGAGCAGCAGGAGCGCACCCCGCCGCAGGGATTCGAACCGCCGACCTTTCGATCGGCAAGCCCTAGGCGCTGAGGCTTTTACCCACAGCGCCACCCGCGTCCCCTACCCATGTTGTTACCTTATAACTATGTTAAGTTATGCTATCATTCCACCCTATCAAACTAACACTTAGTTTAATACTTACCATATCTATACTTCCCTCAGTAATGTATTTCCACTGAACTACATCTCTTGAAAAATCTGTTATCCTGCTGCTTTCTTCCTCTAACCCTTATTGCCTTTGTTAGTTTAATCACATGCTATTTCTCATATTCTTGTTGACCAATTACCTACCGTAGGGAGACCGGGCTCCCCACACCCTAAACTTGACATATGGCCATCCAGATCATTGTTAACAAATAGACTGTAATTTCTAAGCATCCATGAGTTATAGTTTTTTTTAAAAAAATATCCAAACAATGCACTTGAAGATCCCTTCGTAACTCACACCGAGTAATATATTCCACCAAAATGTATTTAATTTTTCGAGCTTGATAGTGCTATCGGTCTAGGACAGGCTTACAATTCTCATTGTCTGGTTTGGCTGTTAATACAACTGGGAAACCCAGCCAGATGGGTGGCATATAAAGAAATTATTATCATTATTTCTCCTTTCTGTGTTTCAGGGGACTTATATTCAGCTGTGACCTCAATTAAAGGTTTTTAAAAGTGTTTGCACATTCCAAAAAGTTTTACGATGATTTGCTCTAAAGATATTAAAGTCTGGTGCACATATATATAATATTTAATTCAGAATGATTGCCAACAACATGTGTAAGAACCCAGGTCCCCTATTCCTGAGCTGCCTGTCCCCTTGATTTAGAGGGGTGCCTACGTAGACTAGTCAAAAATTTCTTGTGGGTCCTCAGGAACAATTGGTTAGGGCTGGATTCACAGACAAGGGCCCACACCTCCCACACTCCCTCATTTCTCATTCCCTCCTACCTCTCCCCCTTGTAGCACCCTATGCACCCTATAAAGCATCTACATAGCACCAAGGAGCCTTTCTGAACACTATGGGATGGGATGTGGGGTTCTGAAGGGAGAAATCATCTTGCCCCTTCTGATGGTTCTCAGGATCCAAGCCATTGTTCATGGCTGCAATCCTGTTAGGTTATTAACCCTAGCGCTCTTGGTTGACGGGTGTAAATTTTTAATAAAGTTTAAATTTTTAACAGGGTTTAAGCCCTACAACATCTGTAACTCCCACTTCTCTGCTATTAAGGAAAGACAGCACTCTTCAGGACCCTGTTCAGCTCCCCAGGCAATTATCTGTTTGAATGGGGGCGGCGGCGGGGTGGGGGGTGGAGGCCTATGAATTGAGTCCCATATGCTTCTGCATGGCTAGCATAACATTACAGCCTGTTATCAAAAACTGTCATATCTTTAATGCTCATCTAGAGCTTTAATCAATTCTACTTATTTAGTCCAATTCCAGGGGTGTTTGTTCCTGTGAATGAAGGATAAACCAATGGTTCTCATTGTGACAAAGATGGACTGCCTCTTAGAAGTCTCTATGGATTCAGGTTAATTAATGAGGCTCATCCTAAGGTTATACATGATATATTACTTCCTCTAATTAGAAATAATAATCCTGATCATTATGCTGGTTAAGCTAGAAAGAAATAAGATGAATGTGCTTAACTATGATTAATAATAGTTGTACCTAAGTAGCAATCTCCTCTGCCACTGAGTTGCCTGCATAGTCTTATATGACTATGTTTTTAACAGCATAAAAATATTAATGAATATTCTAAAACTTTTCTTTCTGTAATACATATTTTTTTATTAAAAAAATTGCAGCAGATCTGGGAAATGTTATCTTTTCCTTACTCTGATGCCAGGATAAGCTTAGAAACACATTTAAGAAACTACTCGAATTCACCAGTCCGTACATTGTCACAGGAGCATAGAATCCACTTTAAACTGAACATCTAGTTATACTGTTATATTTCATGTGTTAAAACACAAGCCATTATAGGATTATGTAATGCTAAATCTGCTTCCCTTTTTTGCTCAGAGATCCTCTCTGTTTGCTTCCACATGTTGGCTTTAAGCCCTCTACAAGGAATCATTGCTGATATCTCAGATAATAATAAATAGCTATGCGGATATATGTTTTAATCTCATACAAACATATTGCAACCTGCTGGCTTCTAGTATATCTTAAGAGAGGTGTCTGAGGTAGGAAAGGGAGTTCTTGTACGGATATTTTTTTAAAGAGGTCACCCTTGTATTGTATATGATTCAGCCAATCAGAGCGCAGGTCTTTACAAATTATTGTGTGTATAGGGAATAACCCATACAATTGAACTTACTCGTGCTAAATATAACAGCCAAGTTTTTGTTAAATGTTTGAAACCCAATCACACAACTGGAATGAAATATCACTGATCAGGATATATGCTAATACAGATGTGAATGACAGCCAGTGAATGATTTGCCTTCTCACCTACTGGGCTTTTAAAAGCAAAATGTTCTACCAATTTTGAAAAGCAGGCTTGAAAGTCCTGTGCAGATGGCATTCCTAGAAAGGAACTGGAGAATCTGCCAAGAGTTTCACTGTGCGTTTATATTCTATTGCAGAAAATGTTCTCTTCAACGTTACCAGTCTAGTGCCTTCTTCACTCCTAACGGAAGATAACATGGAGACACCTGGAGCCGATTTTGTTCTGTGTGAAGGCAAACGAGGCAATGGTATGATTTCATAAACCATGTTGCAGGTAGAGATACTGGCGCAAATATATGTAGGAGGCAACCATCCTGTTACCATCTTAACATTATACAAGAGCATTCGCTTAGACTCCCCACCCCTGTTCTAAGTTTTGCCCTGTAATTGGATAATCTGAAATGTGCAACCGGATGCTACAATTTTATGCTGGGGCCCCATATTGGCCCAAACTCATTCTGCGACATGGGAAAACTTTGGAAGAGTAGCTGTACACAATTTTAAACACAACAGAAGTAATCACACCTGAAGGCCTTGCCCATCTACAGTGACAGAATTTGCTCTCTGCATCTTGTTCCGATCACCTAGTTTGTTTGTTTGTTGGGAACCATCCTTTTCTTTTTTCATAGTTGCCTGGCGTTCCTAAAAGGGAGGTTGGAAGCAGCAGATTAGTGTATTATAGTATCTTACTATGGTGGAAATTGAAGACTCTCATTCTAGCCCTATACATTCAAATACCGCTTCAGTGATCATGGGTTCAGTGATTGCAATCAAATCATTAAATGAAGCCCAACTTCATATACATCTATTTATGTATCTAAACATAATAAATAGATAGGTGATATTGTAGTTTGTCACAATAAGTGCTAATGCAATGGTATGAAGTTGGTAATAATCATGAGGTCATCTAAGCTGTATGGTTAAGCGTATCGAAAAAGGAGATTAATCAATCGCGTTTTGGCCCCAGCCTCTTAAAAAACAAAAACAAAAAACCCTACTAAAAAGCGCAATTGTTTTTGCAATCTGCTTACCCAAAATCTGAAGTTTTCAAAAGGGTTTGTTACATTACAACCTCACTAATCTGAGTTAGCTACAACACAATCCTATATATGTCTACTCAGAAGTAAGTGCCATTGACCTCAATGGGACTTAGTCCTTGCTATGTGTGTATAGAATTTCAGCCCTAAAACCAAATTTGGACTATCTGGATAATACAAAGTTAAGATTGAATGCATGCAAAAAGCAGGAAAACATTCTCCAAGTGGTGATTTATTTATTTTTTATTTCTCACATACATATGCTTTTAAGAAGCATTTTTCCAGGTGAAAAATGTCACCTCCTCAGCAACTGTGGATAAAGAGGCTTAGGAGAAAGGCACTACGCAGGAAAAGACATGGAATCATAGCTACACTGAACAAGCAGAAAAAGTGAACGAATTAATTATTTTAGGAATACATAACATTCACTTAATATCTATAGGAGAGAGGGAGATACGCTGCCCACAATGCCAAGACTGAGGACTTGTTCCTGAAATATATTCACAGTCTTCCAGTGTTTACAGCCACACAACTGGCAGGAAGGCAGAGAGCACTACTGAACCCAGCATGGAACCACAGTAAGGAAGTGTGCACCTCTGGAATTTCATTCCTCAGTTGCATAAGCCTAGCAAACTTTTTTAAAAAAAATCTCCTATACTGCAGAGTCCACAGAGCTACCCAACATATCCCTTGGTTTTTCCTACCCCCTTGTGACCAGTACATCCTGGTCTTCAGCAACATTTGAACAGATGGTGGTCCAGGCAGATTGGTAGCAGATCGGACAACCAGATTTCACTTCCCCGAGTTTTCAAAGGCTTACATTTCAAGCCTAGGTCCTATTCCCATAATGGCTGAAGGAATTCGGCAGACACAACAGGAGACAAGATTGCTGGGCATTAACTCTGCCGAAGCAACTCAAGACCAAGAGCACCTTTTCTGTCACTTCCCTTACTGTTCTTTGAGGATTAATTAAACAAACAGAAAAAATTAAATAACCTAGTCAATATTCTGTGCCACTCAATCCCAGTTGCTCAATCCCAGTTAGACTTGAAAGCTTTTGCAGACCCTCTTTCACTATATAAAAGGTAAAGGTGAAGGACCCTGGGACGGTTAAGTCCAGTCAAAGGCGACTATGGGGTTGTGGCGTTCACCTCGCTTTCAAGCCGAGGGAGCTGGCGTTTGTCCACAGACAGCTTTCTGGGTTATGTGGCCAACAGGACTAAACTGCTTCTGGTGCAACGGGACACTGTGACAGAAGCCAGAGTGCATGGAAATGCTGTTTACTTTCCCACCACAGCGATACCTATTTATCTACTTGCACTGGCGTGCTTTCAAACTGCTAGGTTGGCAGGAGCTGGGACAGTGCAACGGGAGCTCACTCCGTTGCGGGGATTTGAACTGCCGACCTTCCGATCATCAAGCCCAAGAAGCTCAGTGGTTTAGACCACAGCGCTACCCGCATCCCTCCTTTCACTATATATATATCCTAAAGGAAGCAGTGACAATTCAAGAGGATAGCTAACTGCTTCAATGAGGAGAGCAGGGGAATCCAATATGCTGTCCTTCAGAAACTGCTGGATGCAAACTCAAGTAAGTCAAAGCCAGCCTGACGTATGGTCAGGTATGATGGAAGTTGAGAGTCCAACGACATCTAGAGGGCACCATGTTGGTGACCCCTGCTCTACTAATTAAACACCTCTACTTTGTGCTGCTAGAAATATTCCTACAGGCACATTCACGAGGAAAGTATGCAGGTGTAGACAGTAATGCTACTGGCTTCTTGTTGTCGTTGTTAAGTTAAACTAAATTAATTGTGCAGGTGTTATGCTTCATAGTAACAAAACACATATAAACACAGAAAAAATGCAGACTGCCAGAAATAATATTCGTAATTGTCGTGATCATTTTACAGCTTTTAAAAGGGGGACGGGGGTGGGAGCGGAGAGATAGAAAAAGAACTAATGTTGCAAAGTAAGGAACACTGACAGATTTTTCTGCTGCTGCTGCTGCAGTGAGAAAGAAAAGAACCAAGGTTGGAGGTAAAATTGAATTTTTTTTTAGTAATATATAGATCATATTGAGGCCCCCCAGAATCCATGCAGGCCTAGATAAACATCCAAAAAAGGTATGTCATCTCTTGCTATGTTGTCTTTTAAAATGGTAGGCTGGGACATTTTTTATTCACCTATGGCGGTCGCTTCAGTCTGAATAAATTCACTTTAAGTTGGGCCCCTATTATGTTAAAGGGAAATCAGGTGTGCCTGCTAACAAGAAGCACTATCTGCAATTATGCGCTTTGCCGCCCCTTTATTCCAAAGTTCAGAAACTACAAATGAAGCACAGAACAAATTACAAATAGAGAAATCAAAGGCATCTAAAACCTCAGGAGAATATTATATTCCTTCTTAATGTAACACAGAGGACAGATCTTTTTTACATACATGTGTATAGCATTCTGACTGATAATTCAAAATATTTACTTTATTTTTTCATGCAGTGGGTACCTTAAGTGTTTATGATTTAACAAGCTAACTTAATTTAATGTGCAATACAATCCTATGCATGTTTACTTGGAAGTAAACTCCACTGTGTTCAATGGGGCTTCCTCCCCAATAAATGCAGCCTAAGGTAGATTTGATCTGAAGCCAATTTTTAGCTATTAAGTTTTTGGCCACTGAAATATATATTTAAGTAAAATATGTATTCATGTTCTTTATTGTATATAATTTTATTGTTTCTTAACTTTTGTAAGCTGTCTTGGGAGGGTATATTTTTTAAATAAAATCTGTTTCAAGTCACCCTTAACATTATCACATCTCCAGCACTGCATATCTTCCTAATTTTCCTAGGGTTATTATACTTTACAATGGGTGTCAACTATTTTATAAAAGGTGACATTTTCAAATCAGTTTTCAAATACAAAATACAGTGTTTATTCCTCCTCATTGAACTCCTAGATCATTGTTTCACTTTTCCATATAACTTGCATAATTGCTGGCTGGCTAAATCCTTATCTGTTTATTCCTACCTGTAGATTCTTTTCATCTTACTTGCCTGAAATGGCAAGAATCTCTATAGAAGGGATGATGTAAACATTGCCTAAGTAAAGGGTTTTTGTTTCTCTTTTGCAGTTAGAATTCTTTAGTAGTACTACAGGACTGAAATATTAAAACCTTAAAATAAGGAGATCAAACTACATTTGGCATGTCCTTCAAAAACAACAGCTATGTAAAATCTCAGGGCGATTGTGCGATATTCTTGTATAAAAATGGAGGTGAAGCTGACACTTATTGAAAATAAATGACACTGCAAAATGCAGATATTTATTTTCTGGGTAGCATATATGTTCTAGTTATGACTATTTTATTAGGATATACAAAATGATTGATGCGGCTGTAATCATTTTGTCTCATGGACACAGGCAATGCTGAGTGAAAGTTACTCAATAAAACACTAATGCACATTTTGACAGCTCGCAACGTGAAGGTATTCTGTTTTCTCCATGAACTTCTAGACTAGAAAAAAATTCCAAAAAGTATTGCAACAGGACACTGGATTCCTGATTGTCATTCTTAGAGGCTGATTAGGTAGCAATATCCTATTCCTGTTATTCTATATAGTGTTACAGATTAAGAGAATGCACCAGTGCAAGTTCTCTTTGCTCAGGATCCTTCCATTCACAAGTCCAATCACTGTTGATCTTCTACCCATGGGCATACAATGGACTTTGATGCAGACAAGGAACGGCCTTGTGGGAACTATAAAAACATACACTGAGTTGCTCCAGGTCTGTCCCAGTTTGCACACTGACATTACAACACAAAGATTCTATTGTACCATTATACCGGATCTCTATTTTATGTTGTTTATGTTCAAGGAGCAGAGGTTGTTCAGCCCTCTTACTGCTATGACAATGCTGTGTTCATATAGTTAAGGCAGAAGAATCAGATGATGCTCTTCCAAAGTGATGTTTAGCTGATGGTGTAAACTTCCAGTGAATTTTGTTCAGGAAGACTGTATACGTCTGCTGCCTAAAAAAATCCATTTCACACAGACATGGTCCCAGAAATGAGAACAAAGGTCCTCTATAATATACTGAAGGCAAAGTTCTGAAGAACAGGATCTTCGTGCACCTATTAGCTATCAATAGCTCAGCCTGGACAGCTCAGTTGGTTAGTGTGTGGTGCTGATAACACCAAGGTTGCAGGTTCAATGACTGTATGGGACAGTTGCATATTCCTACATCACAGGGGGTTGGACGAGATGATCCTCAGAGTCCCTTCCAGCTCTATGATTCTATGAAATTGCCTAGAGATAGAGCAGAGCTCCACCCAAACCAGAATTCACATTGGAACTACGATTTTTGGTTGGGATCGAATTCATTGAGTGGATCCAGAGCATTCTTCATGCACCAGGACCTAAACCAGTTTCAGAAACGTATGAGGCATAGCACAACCAAGTGAGTTGCTATGTCATGCTGTACCCATATTTCATGTTCAGTATTCACAAGGCAAGGCCTAATATGGTTGGAGGACATTATTGTGGCTGCTCAAGCTCTACCCTAGTCTGTGAAGAGATTCTGGAGTACCAAAAAGACCACCCACTAGGCATACCAAAGGCCTCAGAACAGACATGGAACAGTCCAGAGTGGTTCAAAGGATCACACTTGTTCACACCTTGTCTGCTGTGAAGGCTCCATCACGCTCAGAGAATGTCAGTATTGCTACTCTGTTGTCTCCAAGCATGGGCAGAGACCCATCTCTGCACATGCCGATAGTAGATAGCAGAATTCATTACGGATATCACACTCTACTTGAGCTGCGGTGGAACAGAATGGATTCCTTGCCAAAACTGTACAAAGCAGACCTTACTGGCTTGTTTATCCCTGTTATCAACCCTGGATGACCTTTAAAGCTTCAACAGTTCCAGTCTAATCTCAACTGTGAGTAATTTAGGAGCACTCTAGGGAGTCAATCCTTTGATAAAAGAGTCTTCTTTTAATATGTAATGTGCAGGTCTTCTGCTTTTTGGAGTGCTGCAAGAAATACAGACTGTCATAACTACTATGCCAGCCCCAAAATGTACTTTATGGCAGGAAGTCAAAACACCAAACAACTTTTATTTGCATCTGTGAACACTTTTATATTACGCACCTCAGGAAGCGAAACTCCTAAAGGAGGTAGAGTCTGTTGGAGAAAAACAGTTTCAGCTACAATATTAATATTAATTAAAGACAATTCCTGCAAAGAAAATTTGAATGTGTGGCCATTTTGTTGAGCTAGTAAAGCAGTTTTACATTACAAGTCAAGTCATCACAGCAAAGTAATGTGGATGTATCGTGTTTGTATATAAAAAAAATCACAAATAAGATAAAGATAGTTAACAAAAACCAAACCTTAAAAGCAATAAAAAACATCACCATACAATCCAAGAGATCAGCATAAAGCAAAAACTCATCATAAAACGGCTTCCAGAACAAAAATATTTTCACTGCTCACTTGAAAATGGGAAGAGATCATGGTTGGCAGATATCCCCAGGTAGTAAGGTTGGTGCCACCACTGAAAATGCCCTGCCTCTCATATCAGACAACTGAGGATGGTTTGGTCAGTCTATTTCCAGTCTGTGTTGGCTTTGTATAGCTTCATGTATAAGTCCTTTCCATCCTCTCACTGCGCTAATCTATTTTTATTAATCCTGAGACCTCCAGGCATAGGGTGGTATATAAATTCAATAAATAATAATAATAATAATAATAATAATAATAATAATAATAATAATAATAATCCATACAAAAATTATGTGTAAAAAAAGCCAATCTATACTGAAACTTGCAAATGAATTCCTCAAGCATCGCTACCAGTAACTGAATCCTTGCTAGTGACTAGCCAGAGGGGATCTCAGAGTGATCATAGGGCTCAGTAAGGTTTACATGGACAGAATTGGTCCTGGTTTACCCTAATACTTTAAATTTAACACTGAACAAGTTATGTTTGAATACCTTGTGTATAAAATGCATTTCTTCATAAGGGATAGTAACACTGCTTCCATAAAAGCAATTATACCAAGCCTCAAGAGTGATTAGCCACTTCCAAGATTCAATCACAAAGATTCCCTCCTGCACCTTTCATTGAACAGAAGGTCAAGGGTCAAGGGTGCTGCTATATTATTTCAGGCTTTCAAACAATCTGCCCACATTCTCAGGTAGTATAAGCTAAAGCATATTCCTAATAAGTGACCAGACTCTATTTTTACAGTTCCTTATGGACTCTTATAACTTCCCATTCTTCTTTCAACCTTTAACAACACAGGCCACAACCCTTTGCTTCCCTTTTATTCTTTCCAAATAGTGTTCTGTCATCAGAGGTACATCTAGGAAATTTTAGACTCTAGGCCCCAGTAGAACCCAGTATGCCCACTGTCGATTTGCAAGCCCCCTCCATAGAGGCTGGCCCCTCTCACTGTCCTCGGAGCTTGCTTACCGGTAACCTCCTCTGGCTGATATCCAGACAGACCAGGGAGATTTTGACACCCACATGGCTTCAGTTGCTGACACTGAACCTGCTTGCCTTATCATATCTGGCTTCAGGGTAGTCATTGGGGGCCCTGGACTTTGGCCCCAAAACATAGCCTTAGCTACATCACTGACTGCTATACATAATTATTAGAACTCTTCGATTCACTGCATTGTTGTGTAATGTGAAAGTTCTGGAGAACCTAAGAGTAAGAGTTAGCAAACATGATGATTTGTGAACCTGCATATCCACTTCTATCAAACTGCATTTGTTAAGGTAAAGGCTCACCATCCTCAAACACGAATCATCATGGAAGTTATTTATGAGGTGCTATCATACCTGCTTAAGATGGAAAGAGCTACTAGGAGACTCAGGACCAGCAAGGAGCCATGCCCTTTACTTCACCCATGGTACTCACAGAAGTTTGTATGACCAAACCACAGGGAATACAAGTTCCCACATCTCTTCAGTGACTTATGAATCAGCCCTCACCTCAGTGCCTCATAGCAGTTTACGCTTCTACCATCGAGTCAGTGCCCTGACAGCATACCAGCTACATGTGCAGCACAGATCATTATATCGCGATCTCTGTCAAAGTGTTGGTTCCCTTTTGCCCAGGACACTTGATGCTTACAGAGTTGACAACCCTAGGTAAAATTCAGGATGAGTGAATAGTGCCAGCTACAATTTATCATCCTCTTCATTCCCAACACAGAGCTGAGAGGAGCTTGAACAATGGTAGTTAATTGAAAAATGCATCTTCTTCTGGGGGGCAGTTATTAATTTCAATCTGACATGAAAAAGAAACAAAAAATAGTTCTTGCTGTAGATAAGAACACTCTTCAGTTTTTACAGTTTTTGCATGGAAAGGAACTATGGACACCATGGGATGAAGGAGAAAGGGATTTTGTGTCTGGTTTCAATCTTGCATTCATTGTGTGTTGTGCAACACTACAACTGTATATTTAATCTGCTTAGATAGAGGTTGAGTCCTCAAAGTGAACTCTTTTCAGCGCAGAGACAATGTTTCACAGCAAATGGTGTGTGTTTTAAATGCTCTATCTATCCATCTATCTGTCTATCTAGTAAGCTCACAACTTACATTTAACTTGTACATATTCAGCTTTATGTGCTTGGCAAATTTGGAAAGGAGGTAGGCCTCTGGGGAAAATGAGTTTTGCAATCCCACCTGCTATTGCACCCCATGTGTTCTGACTATATGAAATTTTGGCTTTAGGTGCAATCCTAAATTGTGGGCTTACAAAAACAAAAAAACAACAACCCCTAACTTTTAAAATATTTAATTGATAGTAAATAAACAAAAAACAATGGATGGTGTACTGCTCAAATCTCCAGTAATCAGGAGTAACAGTTGTCCTATTATTACAGTATTATTTGCAGGTGGAGAGAGAGAGAGAGGTTCACATCTTTGTCGTTTGTTAAATGGACAGCTACCATTTATAATACAGAGCAGGAAAGTATTAGCAATCTGTTACTGATTCTATTCAGAAAATAGGACTGTTACAAACTGGTAAAAAGTTGAGAAAGTATGTATCGAAAGACTGCAACTGCATGCATTTATGTTGCATATGCAGAATTATATAAAATAAGTCATAGTAAGGGCAGAGATATTTTTTCTTCTTGCATACAACCACCTCATGCCAATACTCTGCTTCTAACCTTGTTATAATCTAATTCTATTGTAATACAAAAGCTAGGATTAAATTGAGTTAAAGGTTTCCTTAAACTCACTGCCCGTCAACCTCATCATGAACTTTCATTATGTGCATGCAATTAATTGGATCCAATGAACAATTTCAGAACTGAGTTATAGTCTCCCCCATACCATATAATTAGAATATAATTACCCACAGGATATCAGAAGGATGCAAAACCTTTCTTCTAAATGCACCCTCATTAGGAAACAAATCTCAGTGTACATTTATTTGATCAGTGTGAATTAATTAACATGTTACAGAAATAAGAGGGCAGCTATAAACTGATTCTGGCATCTATTAAGACTACCATGAGATCTACATGCACAGATTGTAACTGAAATCATTTAATTTCAGTCACAAAGATCACCATAAAATATATCAATGCACACAGGTACAGAGTTCCTCTTGAATAATGTCTGCAAAGGTAAAAAGTTTTCCTGTTTTAGTATTCCTTGGATAGTTCTTCTGGGAGACTCAGAAGTATTACTCTGTTTTGGATGGTTGGAGTGAAGATGAGAACAATGCACAAGGCTAAGATGTACTCCAGAGTTTATTAAACTTTATTTTATATGGAAGACCACAACATTCTGGATAAGACAGGAATGTCAAGAAAAAAGAAATATCAAAATTCCTGGACTATATCTTCACTCCACGCTCCAAAAAGCAATAGAAACTGGAGATCACACAGACTAAAAGTTAAACACTGTTCATAAATATGAGCAATGGACAGATAATAAAATAAAATGCAGCAAGAACAAACCTAAAATGCTGTATGTAAAATGAAAATCCAAATGCACAAAATTAAGATGCATTAGCAACTGGCCACACAGTAACTGCCAGGAAGTATTAAAAAAATTTCCATGGGCTCAGGAGCTTTAAAGAACAATGATTTCCAAGACTTCTTAGACCTGGAATACTGCCGTTGCAGCATTTTCTTTGACAAAGAGAGGAAGGAGACAGGGAGAGAGGCAAACTTAGGCGGACAGATAGACAAACACCTTACTGATGCCATTCACCTCCCAAAAAGAGTACATTTTGGAGAAGGAAGAGAGTGGCAGGAAAAAAAGGAGGGCTGACCAGTGTCAAGGACAGGCAGGGATCCGAAGAGTCTGTGGCAAAGGAAAGGGACAAGGGGAGTGACCCGGGAGAGGGGACCAGTGATTTATGGGGTGTCACACCACCTGCAAGGCAAGAGCTGGGGAAGGAGGGAGAGTCTGTGGCAGAGGAAGGTGTGCAGGATGTGGTGGAGGAAGAAGGGATGGGTCAGGTGAGGGATGGGTCAGTAGATTCCCCACCTTCCCTTGCACTACTGCCTCCTAGAACCAGGAGAGACTTGAAAAGGAAGAGCAGCAAAGACTTCCATGCAGGAGGAGTCTCAGGTTGCAGGCATGCAACCTGTCAGAGGAGGGTATATAAACAGGAAGAGGGAAGGGTCCCCCACTGTTGTTGCAACTGCTCCATTGGGCCCAGACCTGTGGACAGGTGTCTAGGGGTTAGAAGTGTGTGTGCATGTGCACCACCATGGAAGCTGCTGTAAGTGTTTCTCTTGCCAATAGAAAGTTAACAATTACACATGTGCCTTCCTTATCTGGGATGGGTCATGACAGCCAGCAATCTAAGCCAATATTGGGGCACATCCAAATTTGGAAGGACCTGGGCCCACCATGTTTTGAGGTGAGGCTATTCATGATAATGTGGTGTCCTTAAAAAGGGGGGTGGGGTGAGGAAAGCGACCCGAATTTGTCATGGCAAAGTGCATCAGACAATCCAGCATGAAATCCTATTTTCTGTGAGTGATATTTATTATGGGAGACAAGTTTACCTAGTACTGTTATTGCATTTTTTCTTGAAGAGTTGGTTCAATCACCAAGCATGTTGTACAATAAAAAGGAAATACAATGATGAGTATCTACACATGTCTACATACATGGGACAGACAATGTAGTAAGTTATGATGCTATGGGATAAGCCACAATATTAAAGGTACCGTAATTTTCGCTCCATAACACGCACTTTTTTGCTCCTAGAAAGTAAGGGAAAATGCCTGTGCGTGTTAAGGAGCGAATGCACTGGATCGGAGCCGTGGCTGCCGTCAGTCAAGCAAAGCGGGAGCCGCTTGCAGGGCTTTGCACGGCTCTAGCTTTGCTTGCTTTATAGCCTTATAGCCAGGAGGAGGGGCTCCTTTGCTTGCTTTAAAGCTACCTACGGAGGAGCCGGGGAGGAGGGAGGGAAGGAGAGCCATGGCAGCAAAGCGGGCAGCAGCCGCTTACACGGGAGGAGGGACAGACGGAGCCATAGCGAGCCGGGAGAAGGCAGGCGGTTCAAAGCCAGCAAGCGCTTTTAAAGTAGCCAGCAACAGCTGCTGCAGCCTCAGCTAGCAAAGGTCCGCGCGCTCTCTAAACGGAGCAATGAGGCTGCAGAGGGACAGGAGGGCTTGGATCAGGAAGGATAAAATTTAAGCAACCAGCAGCAAAACAACAACAACAAAAAAAAACCAACCTGGAGCTCTGAGCCACGAGCGCAGTGAAAACCAGGAAGTAAAAAAAAAGGCTATCCCCCGCTTCTCAGCTGCTTTCAGGCAGGATAGATTTGAGCATTGTCTGGGTCCTAGTGCCCCTACCGCTTTTTTGTGCTCCATTCTATTGCTGCTGGTGGCTGCTTATCACTCAGGCTGCAAGGAGGAGGGCTTTTACACAGCTAATGGTGAATCCCCTGCAATCCAAGTCCTCCTCACTTGCTCAAATCTATTCTGCCTCAAAACAAGGAGCAGAAGGAAAAGGCTGCAAACTGTTAAATGGAAAAAACCCCAGGCACAGGGCAAATACCTTAAGTATACCTTTAAAGCAACAGTGTTCTTTCCCTCCCCGCTCAGCTCACAGAAAAGCTCCTTCTCCACACCCCCCATGCGTGCTCCTTGTCCATTGAGTGCTTTTCCTTCCCTCCCCACTTAAAACGTGGTTACAAAGCACGGTTCCACATGGATCCTCAGGATTTTTGCACTGGGTCACCCCAAACTCACCATCAGATCACATGTCTGTGGCCACAGCATGAACCACAAAAATCATACATCTACTGTTTGGTTTAGAATATTTTTTTTCTTGTTTTCCTCCTCTAAAAACTACGTGCGTGTTATGGTCAGGTGCGTGTTATTGAGCGAAAAATACGGTATATTGGAACTCAGTTGTTTAGCCTCTTCATTAGCATAATTTAGAAAACTGACCAGTAAGATCATTACTTCAAGTTCTCTTATCTGCAGACTCTCACAATGTTACTAGACTGTGAATGAAAGATCCTAAGATCAAGAAAGAGTTCCACAGCAACAATGTAAAAGTATTATCTCTCCTACGTTATAGGAAAACAAAACAAAACACAACAAAACCTTCATACTTGAACCAAACAAACACATACTGCTAAACCAAGATTAAAAGCTGAATTTCCTACTGTGAAAAAACGTATTGTGCAGATTTGGTCATTTCTTAAAATTCATAGATCCAAGCTGGTGAACGGATCCTTTTCCACAATGATGAACAGAATTATGATGTCACTGTAAAGGCATATTAAATGCTGCTCCAAATACAGAGAAAACGTAACAGGCATTCAGAATTTCCTAGTGCCTCCAAAAGGTTTCATCCATTAAGGTCCAACCACAGATGCCCAACTCAAAATCCTTGAGACCTAAAAGAGGCAGTATAGCTCTGGATATCAGTTTGCTGGGGACAAACAGGGAAACTGCATTCTCTCATGTTCTGCTTGTAAGGTTCCCAGAGTAATTTTGTTGGTCTTTATTGGAAACAGAATGCTGAATGAGGCAGAAGCGAGTGACCTGCCCACATCCAAAAACCAGGCAGAGATGGAGTCAGAAGCCCCAAATGCCAACTCTCTCAAATACTTTCCTCCACCAATGTAGAGGTTCTTGGACTACAACTCCTATCATTCCTGACCACTGGCCAAGCTGACTTGTGCTGATGGTAGTTGGAGTCCAGCAACACCTGGAGGAAACTACACCGACTACCCTGGTTAAATATTATGAGAATGAGCTACAGCAAAACTTAAGTCTTGCATGTCCCCCCCACCCGCCTTCCATTTTAGATTAACTGGAAATTTAGCGGCCATCTAAGCCCTAAACTTTAAGGTGAACTATAGCTGAAAGAATACAGCATCACGAGCCATGGTTTGAAGCTGGATAAACAAATCATAGTAAAGATTAACCACAGTTTCTCCAGGTGTGGATGAAGTGGCAAGTTGTAGTTAATCTAAAGCGGAAGCTTCTAAACTCATCATGGCTGTGCCAGAGAAGGATGGAGTGGGGGGGGGGGAGCACATGAGATTAAGGCTCTCTGTGGCTTTCCCCCATAATGCTACAGATGTAACATTTAGTGTTACATCTAAACCAGCCCTAGAGGAAGAAAAGCAATTGTATCATCAACAAAGCAATGGGGGGAACACATTATAGTACTTCTTTACCCAGTGCACAGTTAACTTATAGAAGTCACTGCTGCAGGTTATCAACAGAAAAACAGCCCAAGAATGCTACCCATTCTAATTTACCATCCAATTTTCATTTTAAAAAAATCAGTAAAGGAAAAGCCATTGTTTAGAGAAAATAGTGGCATAAAGTTTGAATTTTGCAAATCTTACATTTCTTATTACTGTAGTTTTGCAACATCACTTTTTTTAAACACTGAAGCCTATTTAAAGAAAAACAATTGTATTTGGAAAGACCACTGTTAACATAATTTATGGTTAAAGAAATGCTGAGCTGGGTGCCACTGTAGTTCTTTAAATTTCGAAGAATGTACCCTATTTAGTAGAGTACACAGTTTTTCAGTTTATTGTATTTTAAAAACATGATCACACCTAACATGGCTCTGGAGTGCAAAATCAAAGGCTGATGCCTGCACAAATTTCAGAAGTCAAATTCAGGCTAGGCATTGACAGATCCCCAGTTATGTGGCGTCATGAGCACCAGAGTCATACAAGATTATTTTGCTTCCTCTGTTAGTACTACTCCCAAGGCCCCCATCCTACAAATACCTGTATAATCACACATACATTTTTCCAGGAGTGTTCAATAGACATCATCGCTCAAATCAAACAAGTTTTTTTTTTCCTCCAGGTGGAGGGGAGTGCAACAGGGGTACAGAGTTTGCACAACTCTATTGACATATAAGCTTTGAAGGTCCGTCTCACAAGCTCTTTGTAGCACTCTTCACAGAGCATCTGTACTGCCATTTTCATTGAGTAATTATATTTGTAGACAGGTAATTTACTGCTCAGTCTAGCAGCATAAAACATATAATGTTGATGCATTGCTTGCTGCAAGGCCAAGGCCATCATTCTAGGTAACCTCCGGTGGAGATCAGAGCCCTTAGCATTGCAGATATATAACGTGCATCCCAAGCAAAATGTGCCCATAAGAATAACTTCATTATTCTGGGAAGCTAGATCTATAAAATAAGTAGGATGTGCAAGTATTTGGCCTATACAATTTCTGGTAAATTCAGCATGACTAAATGATAAAACCAGAATCAGTTTCAATTACAGCTTACATTCTAGAAGACATTCAGTAGCATGAAGGAAGAGGGAAATACAACGTACTATCATTAGTGAGTTAGCATTTTGTTTAGATTGTGCTGTCAGAACAAGGCTGTAGTAACAGCAGCCTTGAAGCTCTCCTGTAGCCTTAAGATGCCTTTAATGCAGAAGAGCTCTTTTGAAATGGATGAACAAGAACTTACCAATACTACAGGGCAGATAGATGTGGGTGGTAGAATATGATCCTTCAGAGCGCCACAATCACATTCAGGCTTGAGGTGTGATGCACATTTGTTATGCAGCTATGAGAGAGGGAGAAAAAAAATCTATCATTAAGAATATAAATGTCATAGGAGTCAGTCGATGTGAGTGTGCTGAAATACACCAAGCTGTTATGATGTAAAAAACAATAATAATTTAACACAATAGACTTTGAAGGTGACCAATTTTAGATAAAAGTACAAAACTCAAATATAACATGAATAAGTAGCACTGAAACTGATTTCACAGAGAAAGCATGACTTAGTAAATATGTATGTAAAAATCATGTTACTAACTTTGAAAAAGTTAACCTACTGAAAAAGATGATACTTACAAAGAAACAGCAAAACAATAATGATCTGTTAAAATCAAATAACCTTTGAAACTTGGTAACAGAGAATCTTATGACACTTGAAAGTCTAACAAGATTTTTTAAGGCATAAACTTTCATGGACTAAAGTCCTCCTTCATCGGATACATGAAGTGTTATCCCAAGTTACTGGTAAGACATGTTTTTGCTGCAACAAACTAACACAGCTGGGTCTCTGGAAATTAGACTTTTACTGAACAATCCTAACCATGTCTACTCAGAAATAAATCCTTATTGAATTCAACAGCGCTTACTCCCAAAGATTAGAATTGCAGCCTAAGCAAACAAGTACTATCAGTGCAATCCTTAAAAAAAATTGGTCAAAATAAAATTCTACTGGGTTCAATGGGACTGACTCCCTGGTTCAGTGTGGTAGAATTACAGGTTGCATATTTCCTCCAAGTACTGAAGCTTTATTGTGGGTGTCTTTTGCTCACCCCATAATCTAAAACTTGTCACACTAATTCCCTGCCTTACTGGCGAGGCCACTTTTACCATAATTAACGCACACTTAAGCCATTCTACAACCAATGAGGTTGATTTGGATTCTCAACCAATCTACTTAAATTGGCTCTCCCCCAACCTCTTCTGAGGCACAATTCAGCATTCACACTCTATTGACTTGCATGCAGACCAGCTGTGCATTTTAAGTGTTCTAGATTCTCAAATGCACACAAAGGCAGACCCAGGTGAGAGTAAGAACCCCACTCTTTGGTGCTAGCTTTTTTCCAGTCCCTTCAGCCACAGCCTCGGGGAGCACATGTGCCCAGTAGAAAATGCTGTGGTATCTCAGCCTGCAAAATCACAACCACTATTATTACTCGAAGGCACTCACTGTGACTTGGCACCAGACGCAATGCAGCCCAGTCAATCCTTGGTAACATTTTACAGTTTTGTGGCACTTATCACATTTGGTTGGACAATTCCCTTCTACCCAGAAGTGATGCATGACCTAGGAAAGAAAAGTGCAGCCATAAGTAAAATATTTCATTTCTTTACTTTTTAAAAAGACACTTTCAAAAGAGTCACTTCTCTACCAAAGCATGCAAAGCAACATTAAACTATTAAGAGGAACTACATACAGATTAAACTGAACAATTAATATCCTTAAGTCAATAAATATTGAAGAGCAAGCAAGCAGGCCACAAAAACAATAAAAAACAACAAAACTATCAATCCAAAGTCTTGTAAAATTGCAAGGTTTTGACCCGGCACCTAAATAGCTTTGATGAAATCACCTTCAAAAAGCTGCTTGGGGAGGGTATTCCACATAGGAGATGCTGTCACTGACTAGGCCTCGCTACTGTCCTCACAGGGTGAGGGAGTACCCCAAAAACAGCCTTAGAAAACTACCTTATAAGATCAGGCAGGTTTGTATGAAAGGAGCCTGTCCTCTAAGTACCTTGGTTCCTACGCTGTTTAGGGTGTTAACATGTAAACCAGCACTTTGAATTGATGTTGGAAACCCACCAAAACACAGTGAAGACAATAATGGTGGCTCACCTCAGTATTCTTTTTGGATTTCACATATGTTTTGATACAAGAAGCTGGTGCTCTCGAAACGCAACGTTCATGGACTGTGTACTTACAAACTGAAAACGCAACAATGTTGTTATTGACACAATTTTGTAGAAACCTATTTTGAATAACTAAGCTTATCAAAAGGCAATTCATTATTTGTATCAGGAGCATGGAAATCCAAATCTAGCAATTTGCATTGAAGCAAAAAAAGCCCATAAAATAAAGGAAATACTGCTTAATATCAGTAACATCATGGGAGGAGTGTTTCTAGGATTAAGGTGAAATGGTTATTTTTTGCTGTTGGATGCTGCATGTTGTTTATGTAATCTTGTAATTCAATATTTATAGTATTGAAATGTGGTACTTTGTGTGTTACTATATTTTAAGTCTGCTATGTTATTACAAAATTGTTTTTGTGGTGTTTGTAAGAAATTCTTTCCTGCTTGTTGTAAGCAGCAATGAATGTTTTTTGTGGGTGTTAAAAGCAGGATACAAATAAAATGAACGAATGAATAACAAGTATGGTCAATTTAAGAATCTAAGACTACTCAATGGTTGAGCAAGAAACGCTTAACTGAATCAGCCCTTGCTAAAATGTCAACAATCGTTCCTAAATTGAAGGAGGGGCAGATACTGAAGACAAATTGATGCCTGCCAAATGTGTTTGTGTCATTGCCAAGAAGGAAATATCTATATTTTACCAACTATAGGCATGAGAGCAGCTGGCAAACCCAAATGCAAAAAGCAGCAAGTTTATGTTATTCCCTATATTGATTTATCAACCTTGGGTAGTCTTCTTTCCGGATAGAAATCGTTATAAATCTGTTCATTCTATCACGCACAACGTTCAATGATCATTCACCTTGCCAATTTCCATTCCCCAGAAAAGCTTCTGTTGCAAGATCTCCCCTCTTGCCCTTCATCGCTTTTCTGCACTTTGTAGCCTTTATTGGTACAATAAAGTCTAAATGGTTTCATGGACTACTGACTCAAGAGTGGAATCCAATTGATGCTCTTGTGCTCATGGAAGCATTTTGATCCATTGGATGTCTCTGCTAAAACAGGAGAGGGATGAACTTTCTGCCTATTTCCTGCTACCCACTGGAGCTCCCATTCCACCCAACACTTAGTCCTGGAAGGCCTTTCAACCCTCTGGAGGCAATCTCAGGGGCTCTGGGGGCTGCAGGGGGAGAGAGAAGCTTCCTTCTCCTTTTGTTAGCAGCAGCCATCTTGTGAGCACAAGGGCATCAAATGGATTCCACACTTGATATTTTTGTGGTGACTGAGCAGTTAACATTACCGCTATGAGGAGGACTAATGCTAACTTCAGTAGTCAAAAGCTCACCCACATTCAAAACAAAAGCACCATTTACCCCAGGTTTTATCTTCAAGGGTAGCCGTGTACAATGCTTTCTGACCACTTCTTTTGCACTTATTACGGACATCCAATGGGAGGGCCAGCTATAAATCACATATACTGCAGGGAGCAACTTGATTGGCCACAGAGGGTTGTGCGGCCCCAAATGTATCCTCCAGAACCCTGCCCCCCCTTCTGCAAACCACTCTTTAATGAAAAGCAGCAGCAATGCTTTTAAAATATCAAGAGATGCAAATGCCAATTTTTTAAGAAGAAGGGCAGGCTGTGTATCCCTAACCAGTGATGGGTGCAGAAGCATATGAGCAGGTTTATTAATATGTGCTTAACAAGATAATTTGTTAAAAAAAGAAAACTGAAGCTCCACATGGATAGCATACCCAATCAATGATGGGCTTAATCCATGTAGTGCCGTCATTTTATTGGACACCAGAAAAGACTGGTGGGAAACAGTCAGAAACGTAGTTGGAAAGCGTGAGTGCCTCTTTTGACAGATACCGTTATACACAGAGGATGACTAAAGAAGAATGTGAATAACTATTTACAAACATATTAGGAGATGAGTGACAAGAAGAGAAAAGGGGAGGACAAAAATCCTTATAGCTGGGCACCTTGTAGCTAGAATAAATGAGGCATAATCAAGGTAAATCAAGGCAAACAGTATGGATTGTAGACAAGGGTGTCCATCTACAAAATACTATCAAGATGACTCAAAATCCAGGCTGAATGATTTTATTTTCTAAATTGGGCTTGAGTCTCCCAAAGAAAGGCATGGGCAGTTGCTATCAGAGGCACATGCTCTTCTTTGACTTGCCCTGGACTAGAGCAATCCTCTCAGCAGAAGCATTGGTATACAATGTAACATAAAGCAGGAAGCAGTTGTGAGTTTTACCCTCTGAGAGTGACTGGCAAATCATCTTCTCCAGATGCAAAATTATCTTGTCCTTGGAGAAGACGCCATTTTCTAACATAATACTACGCCATGGTTTAAGATTACAAGAACTAGCCACTGCAAGTATAGAGCATGCATCCTTCTCTATATTCCACGTAAAATAAGTTTCTGCTTCTATTTTTTATTAACCGTTGTTTAGTATGTCATCCAAAAAAATCATAGGTTATCTTAACTTGGAGTAGTTTAATCAAGCCAACTTTATACACAATGGTTTGAAGATGTCTTTTGTTTCAACAAACCATAGCTAATTTACAGTTTGTCCAGGTTCAGACAATGTGACAGTATTTTATATTATATGCAGATTATTTTTATTATTATTTGACTTTATATACTGCCCTGTAGCTGGAGTTCTCAGGGCAGTTTTTATATTCTATTTTATATTATAAAATCCATATAAAGTAGAAGCAAAAGTTTCCAAACTTCTCCTTGCAGCTGCGACAAAGGAGGTGCCCAAGAACTGCAGTCACTCATTCTCAAGAATCCTAGGACACCCACACCATGATTTAGTATTAGTTTTATTTGGTTTGTTGTCTGAAAAGTTACCTTGAATTTATGGAAAGTATAGATAGATTCCACCGTATAAAGAGAGTCTCATATGTTTGTCTCTTTTTCTACACTTTGGCATTCTACACCTGAAAATTCTTGATCTAATGAAAATCCTTGTCCTGATTAAGATGGTGAACAGGGCTGGATCTCGTTCAGAGCACAATCAGAGCTAAACGGGATGTACCGTATACTCACATGAGCAGGAGAGGCCCTGTTTGCCTACTCCTATAAGCATGTTCAAGCAAAGATTGCAATAGGCAGGTTTGTTGAAGTGTTTCAGCCTCCATACATGCTGCCCATCATCCTTCACATTCTGCAGAAGACATAAAAAGAAATGGATTTCATTTAATGGCATAAACAGTGAAACCCATAAGTGCCAATAAAAAATTGAAATTGACTCAAGAACATAAAAGACAATCTGCTTCTTCATTTATTAATTTGCAAGAGATCAAAACACAATTCTTTCAAACAGACATGTGCTGATATGGTAACAAGAGGTTTGGGGGTTGGGTTTTTAAGCTCAGAGTTGTATTTCCAGAACCTTTTTACCTATGGCTAAGACTGTAATACAACCCTTTCAAGTTCATAAAATGAATATTTGCCCAAGTAACATGTATGCAACCTTTCCTGCATTGTTATTGTGTCTGGAATGATATACATTTATTTAATTATTTTGCATGCATAGATTTCTTCTCCAGCTAGGGCTGTGAACACATATAGCCCTTGCTATGCCAAGGCATTTTCCTTTAATAATCTTTTCCTATGCTTGGCTTTCAGTTCGTGAAAGATTATCACTAGATGAACGCATCTGAATTCAGATTAAACCGAAAGTTTCACACAGAGACACTGAACTGGTCATCAGCAAGAAGCCGCCCCCCCCCAAAGGAAAGGGGAACAGATATCTCAAATATATTTATTTTAAAAAATAACATAAAATGCATAATTAAGAGATATTTATAGTTGCACAGCAGTTTTAATTTTTGCCATTTATTCAAAAGAATGGTCATTACATGTGATTTCGCCTCCATTGGAACAGAACATATGGAGCGACTTAGCTGGCATTTTCCTTATCAGAGAAACAAACAAGTCTTGAATGTGGGTGTTCTGCCAATTAAAATACTTGAGTTACAGGCTGCAACTGATCCACAGATCCCATTACATAAATACAGTGCACTTTGGGAAAATAACATATTAGATTTTTGCTCTGGTTTACTGCCAAATATCAGCCACCTTAGCTGTTACATATAATTATGTGTAATTGTAACTTAAATAATTTCTAGAATGGAAAAGTCATGTTGTTATATCACCACCATAAATGAGATTTAAAATAAAATATGTAGGACTACGTTGAGCAATTCTCACAAGTCACCCACCAACTTCCTTTTATCCATACCAAATTCTTAGGACCCACCCTATCCTCTTGACTGTCATTTGTTTTAACTTATTTTTAATATTGCGCTTTCAATTGTTGTAGTCCACCCTTGAACCTCATGGTGACAGGCAAAAAAAAAAGGGGGAGAAAGAAGACTTAGCAACAGTTAAGATTTCACTCAGAAGGAGAGGTTCCAACAAAAGAAGACTGGCTTTTGAAAATGATGGAGTATGTGGAACTGACAAGATTAACAGCAAAGATTAGAAACCAAAATGACAAAAAATTCCTTGAGGACTGGAAACTTTTTATTGAGTATTTAAAGAACTACTATAGCAAGATGAAAACGTGAGCAGGATTTGAAATATGAGCAACAGAGTGAATTATTAAGATAAGTAGATTGAATTGAATATGGTGAATAGTATAGGCAAAATCTGCAGCATTTAAGGGTCAATATGGAAACCATGGAAGGGGAGGACAGGAAGTCAATTGATAAAGTAACTTATGGTTTATGTTAAAATTTGAAAGTTTTTTTTCTTTGTAAAAAAATAATATTTTTTTTTAAAATAAGATTTCACCCATTTTTCTGTTTTGTATTTCTATTTGTAGTTGTCAGCTCTCTCTCCCTCTTTCCAGTTTTCCACATGTAGTAATGCTGATTTGTGTATCTTTACTTAATCACGGTCTTAACTATGGTTTCCATGTCATAAACACCAGCTTGGATCAAAGTGCTTAGGTATCTGTGCATGGACTGCAGGTGGTGAACAAGAAAGGGGCCAAGGGAAAAACTCACTTCCCATGGACTTCAGTAATATCAGTACTAACAGTAAAAATAGGTGCAAATGGAAGAAAAATGGGTTACACTATTTCACTAGTTGAGTGCCTCACCGTCTGTAAAGCTGATTGAATTCTGCAAAGAGATTGGACAGCTAAAACAATTTTCCCTGGGTTCTGGTTGCTTCAGAATATTTAGCCTTCTTGCTGCGCTGTTTTTAGTTGCTTCTTTTTGCTGTTGTTTTTGAGAACTGGTTTTTGTTTTACTGATGGTTATTTTATGTTGTACCCTGCCCTGGCATAAGTACCAATGAAAGGCAGCATATAAAAAATTAAAGAAAAATAAACTTGGCATATGTGCTGTGGAATTGGTAAGGCAGTTCCCCCTCTCTCCGCCCTTATTGTATTCTTATTTAGTGTGTATGCATCAGAGAAAAGGAAATGAGAAAATCCTTTTAGCAATGTCCCATATTAGAGAAAAATCAAAATCCAACAGGGTGGGAAAAACCATTCTAGGTTATACAGAAACTCTTAGCACTCGCAAAGTTTCATCTTTGCTCAAGAGTATGAACTTTGCAACAGCTCCCCAAAGCGGTATCTGAAATAGTTTCCAAAAAGAATTAAAGTTACTCCCTCCTGTGGAAATCTAAAGAACAGCAATAAAGCTTCCTTCAAGCAAATCTTCCTCCAGAAAACAGGATTTCATACTTAAACCTCACTAAATCTCACTGTGTCAGAGTATGTGTAGAAATATCCTACAATTTGTTGACGTACTTTCCAGACTTTTAAGATAGTCATAGATCGTCTTCCATTTTACACTCATTTTAAAACTGGAATAAAAGAACACATTCTGCCTAAGCTGAATGAGGGATTCCAAAGTTTTCAATAGCGTTTATAAGCATCAGATATATTGTGCATTCTTGTATAAATTTGAATATATACCCTGCAAAGAAAGTTCAAACTATGCATCCTTCTTGCAAAGTGTACCAGTGGAGGTACAATGGAGGTTTGAATTGAGATAATCACTCTGGCATCAATCTTACTTATCTGCTTGTGGACCAATTCAGCAATAACTCTCTATACTTTGAATTTAAATTTTCATCGGCCACATATTTATTTGCTTATTCATTCATATATTTATTTTTTAAAAGGTTAATTTTAAAACTCAGTAGGCTCATAGGACTTATAGTATTGCATGTTAGAAGGACACCTGTTACGAAGCTTTTAAAAATCACATCTTGGATGACACAGGAAAAGCAATTGCAGTGCAACTCTGACATCTAGTGCCAGGGAAAGAGAACACAAATTACAAAGGCTGAGCACACTCCAAAAAGTACCGTAGTTCTTTTATAGTTAGGGGGAAAGGCATGGTGTCGTTTTTTTACCAAACCAATTCATCTTGGCTTTGAGTCCTGGAAGACCTGCTCCCTGCCTTGCAGACATTTTCCCACCTGGCCTGGGAGGGTAGGGCCCTGAAGGACTCCAGCTACAAAAGCTGAACAGATCCTTGGGCTCAAGTATTTGTTTAGAGAGTTTTGTTGGGCAGAGGATTGTTGCTGTTATTGATATTATTTTTGCACCTTTATTTTAGATCTTATGATTAATGTGGATATCGTTCAGTTTGGTTGTGGATTTTTTGATGTTTTATTTATTGTTCATGACTACTTTTGTTATGGTGGAATAAAGTATGTTTTCATGTTGTAAGCTGCCTTAAGCATGGCTTGAACCAGTGGTCCCCCCTTTTTTTCAGGGGGTACTCAAGAGTACGCAGTACCAGCACCTCTTTTTGTTGTTCTTAAAGTGTGGCACTTATTGCAACAACTTCATGGTGGCAGCAGTGATGGGTTGCCAAAAGTGAGAGCTTGTCCCCTTTCTCATCACTGATGCTCCTGTGTCAGTTTACCAACGCAGAGAATGCAACAGTGTTGTGAGGGCTGGCTGAATGGCCGTTTGAGGAGGAAGAGGACCAGCAGAGATGTGGGGAGGATAATTTTTCACTCAAGGCTCAGGCGACTTCAGTGGCAAAGTAGTGCCTTTAACCAGCCTTGGCTGGTGCGTCAGCTGCCAAGCTAGCAGTTCAAAAGCACGCTAGTGCAAGTAGATAAATAGGTACCACTGCAGCAGGAAGGTAAACGGTGTTTCTGTGCGCTCCGGTTTCTGTCACGCTGTCCCGTTGTGGCAAAAGCGGTTTAGTCATTCTGGCCACATGACCCAGAAAGCTGTCTGTGGACAAACGCCAGCTCTCTCGGCCTGAAAACGAGCGCAGTTGCACCAGGCGTAAGGGACCTTTTCCCCTAATGAAATGAAGCTGGCACCATCTGTAATGCGTTTTGTACACCAACTTGGATATTTCAACAAGCGTTATTAAACTGATTTAGTTTTTTCATAACCTTCTTGTCACATGACCCATTCTGCACTTGTTTGTTTCATGTCTCCTGTGCTGTTTTATTCGTTACATTGCTTTGGTTTTAACTGAGATTTTGTATCTCATGTTGATATATTTTTATATGTGTTTTCAAGGGAGGAAACACATATAAGGAGGAGGATTCAGAGTTCTGAAAAATGGCCTGAGTAAGGTGAACTGGGTAGAAATCATCCGGCTATATAGTATGTATCTTTCTTTTAAAAAGTATGCATAGTTCAAAAATTGTGAACAGGGACAAAGGAGAGCCATTTCTGAAAAAGTGACCTGTCACTGATGTGGAGAAGGGCACGTAATAAATTAATGATGGTAATAACAAGGAGAAGGAAGAGGCACACTAAGAAAATGATTGGTGTACATCTGAGGTCTCCAGCCTTTTTGCTCCAGGGGCACTTGGGAAATCTAAGAAGCTGTCAGGGGCACCACAAAATACCCATTTCACAGAAGAAAGATTGGGAGAGGTTCTGAGTGGCACTAAAGAAATAACCTCTGGAAGAAGCAAGTAAAACAGGGGTCAGCAAACTTTTTCAGCAGGGGGCCGGTCCACTGTCCCTGACCTTGTGGGGGCCCAGAGTATATTTGAGGGGGGATGAACGAATTCCTATGCCCCACAAATAACCCAGAGATGCATTTTAAATAAACCCAGAAATGCATTTTACATTCTACTCATGTAAAAACATGCTGATTCCCGGACCATCCATGGGCCAGATTTAGAAGGCGATTGGGCCGGATCTGGCCCCCGGGCCTTAGTTTGCCCAACCATGAAGTAAAACATGACCAGAAAGTAGGCAATGTCCCCCTGCCAAACACAAACACAAAGTTAAAAAATTAAAAATCAGGAGGGGGAGCTTTAGGCAGATGCCACGGGGTTGTTTTGAAGACAGAGTGGCGCCCATCAGCAAAACATTAGGGGTTCATACCCCCCCCTCCAGCTGTACTTCAGGTTGAGAACTGAGAGTCATATTGTTATAACAATAACAATAAAAAGAAAAAATATGGAAGTAAATTGGGCCACATATAAGGATTTAGTAAAGGAGAAAGAGGACAAATTGGTATTAAAAAACTACGAGGAAATAAAACAACACCTAACAGGTTGGATCCAATACCATCAATTACATGAAGTGTTTAGGGCAGACAAGAAGAAAGACTTCTCTAAAGAACTCTCATTATTAGATAAAGTGTTGTTACAAAATAAGGTTAAAATAATCTCTAAAACCTATGATACATTATTGGAGTGGGAAGTCAAAGACGAACAAGTCAAAAATGTAATGATCGGGGGGGGCTATAGATATAGGAAAATCTATTAATTTAACATCATGGGAGGAATTATGGGGAAAGAATTGGAAATTCATGGCTTGTGAGGCATTAAAGGAAAACCTAATCAATTTGTTTTATAGATGGTATTTAGCACCAGGCAAAATAGCAAAAATGTATAAAACAAAAACAGGCCTGTGCTGGAGAAGCAATAAAATGGAAGGGACACTCATACATATTTGGTAGACCTGTGACAAAATCAAATGCTCCTGGGATATAGTTTACGAAGAATTAAAGAAAATGTTTAAACAAAGTTTTGTAAAGAGAACAGAAGCTTTCCTGTTAGGGATAACAGACACAGATATCACAAAAGAAAATCAAAAATTATTCCTATATGCCACAGGGGCTGCTAGAATACTAATTGCCAGAAATGGAAAAAGGAAATTATGCAAACAAAAAAGGAATGGCAAGACAAATTATTAGATTATATTGAACTGGCCAGATTGACGGAAGCAATTAGGGAACAGCCCAAACAAAAGTTCCAGAAAGAATGGGGGAAATGTAGAGAATATTTTAAAAGCAGTGCCCCCAAATAAATACCTGGTCTTGTTTCTGCAGGAAGATTGATGTTTCTTAGGTTACAATTTGGAAAAATCATGAAAATAATTCAAAAAAGAGACAGTTTAGAAGGAGAAAGTAGAAAACCGTCTACATGATGAAAGAAGTCGAAAAAGAAGAATTTGGAATCAAATTTTTCTTTTCTTTTTGGTTTTACTGTTTGGTTCTGTTTCACTGTCTTGTTTGTTTTGCTTTGGGGGTCAAGGGTAGTGGTTTGTTCAGTTTTTGTTGTTGGAGTAATTGATTTATTGTTCTAAATAATTTCAATAAAATTAATTTTTAAAAAGGGGAGAAGAGAACTGAGAATCATAGCATTACAAAAATGAGAAGAGACCCATGTGGCCCTTCAGATCAACTCTGACCATGCTGGTTGGGGCAAATTGGAGTTGAACAACATCTGCAGGGCTGCAAGTTCCCACCACTGGAATTCATGAAAATTATAGCTCAAAATTAAATGAGCGCAACAGGTTCCCCATACCTGATCTACACAGACTTCTCAACAGAAGTCTTGCCATTCCTAACTGTAGGGCTGCCATACGTCCAGATTTTCCTGGACATTAGAGGGATTCCAAAGGCAGAATTGATGTCCAGGGGGAATTTCTGAAAGGCGGCGCTTTGTCCTGGATCTTAGGCAAGTCAACAACAACAAAAAGTGTTTCTGTAAAAAGAAAAGCTCACCAACCTTTGGGTTTTCCTTAAAAAGTGCAAAAAAACTGGGGTCTTCCTTTAAAAATAACACTCAACAACTTTCAGGGTGTCCTGGTTTTAACTTTTTGAAATATGGCAACTCTACCTAACTGGGTATGCTAGGAACTGAATCTGACACCTTTCCCATGCAAAACATGTGCTCTACCTCTGGGCTGTAGCCCTTGGTATAAGGCAATCTAACTAAAGAATAAGTATATTTCATAATGCTGAAGATATCAAAAGGGAACTGCACACTTTGTTCAATGAAATTGAAAGGCATCAAATACTTCTTGGGTTAGTATAAAAGAAATTAATTATTAAGTTTTTGTGAATTTTGTTTTCTAATGACTTTTACAAATAACACATTAAAGAAAACAACTTTTGATAGTTGCATTATGTAAATATGATCTAGTTAATTAATCCATGTAATTGCATTGTATCTTAATTGTTTTGTTCAGCATCCTAATTGTAGTACTAAGGGTGGCATAGAAATGCAATTATAATAATTATTATTACTATTATTAGTCAATTTTGCAGCTGCTCTGCAGACAAATCTCCCATTTATCCCAATAAGAGCTATGCCTGCAGAGAAGCTGCAAAAGCATGAACTAAATAAGGGAAATAATAAGAAAGTGAATGAAAAATAAGATAGGATAATTATTTCACAACAGCATCATTTTTCCTCAAGGCATTTAAAAATATTTCCTTCCATGTATTTATATAGTTTTTCCAGACTAAAAAAGCTGTTAATTTAGTAAGAGAGCTGCACTTCTTAATGGATTATATAGAAATTATGGCATGCCAACTTTTTTGAGGGGGTGTCCTTAATTTATATAGCCAGTGGTTCCAAAGCTAAGCATGGCCATCACTTTAAGGTAGTATTTTTAAAAGAAAAAATGAGAGGGGCTAAAAGAAGCTTCAGGGGCCAATGAAAGAGACCCAGGAAGCAATCCAGAAAGACATTAGTCACATGACTGGCTTTTGCATTCTTCCTTTTTCCTATTAAAGAGAACCCCCACGGGGAATGATTGACATCAGAACCATGGCATGGGGGAGGCAGGTTTTAACCCTTTTCTACAGTCCTAATCCCTATCCAGATTGGGCAATTCTTCATGAGTGTTTGCATCTAGAAGAAAACTCCCAAATCCAGACACAATTTCAGCTTCCAAAGCAGTTCACAACAATAAAATTCTGTTTCAGAAAGAGTGATGAAACCCAACCCACAACAACACTTGTCAGTTAGGCATGGACTGCTGCTATACAAAGCATCCTATTATTTGTTTTAATGCTCTACAGAAGAGGGAGGGAGTAGGACTCTCATTTTTATAGCCACCCTATCATGTGTTATTTCCAGATTTCCAGGATAAAAGGAATACCAGGTCCCTTTAAAAGTTCTCAGAGGTGCCACTAAGGGTTTCGGCCTAAACAACCAAACAAAAAAAGCAATCATATGCTGGGTTTACACCAACTGACACAAGAGAAATGAAATGATGGGTTGTGGTTCATTCATCCTTTGATTTATCTTTTTGGTGGCTCTTACACTTTCCAGTCCAAGCAACACTAAGAGTGGGATTGTAGTCATCCCTCCCTGGATCCATTCTTCCAAGGAAACGGTGCCATCATGGTCATAGTCAATTTCTTCCATCATCTCATGAAGAATCTGTTAGAATAAAGGAAGGAAATCAAATATTAAAGAAAATGACATGCATGAAAGCTGAGAACCACTTACTATACATGGAAATAGAAAGTGACATAAAGCTAAAACATTTTTTCTCACTTGAGACAATTTTACACTGGAATATGGAACAGTATAGCTTTTTAACCTATATTTGCTTTGTTTTGTTTCTCCGTTTTCAAAAACAATGTTAGCGTCTTTTTCATCTCCCAGTAGAGCTTCCTTTAATTCTATCGCTGAAATTCTGACGAGCAAAGAGGGAAGTTTCAAAAAAGCACTTAGAAAAACAGACTGCTGTCTTATTTGTTTATATTAGTAAATTTACTTCTAATTTACTTATAATCGTAAAAAAAAAAGGGAAAGGGGAGATAAAACCTCAATACATTTAAGGCGTGCTTTTGTGAAAATTCTTGCCTGCTGTCATCTGAGAGCACCAGATCTCTACAAAATGATCAGTCTGGTCTGACTGGTAGATCCAAGGGCATGATCCCTTTCCATCAGGCTGCATCTAAAGGAGAGGTGGAATAGTGTGGTCTCAACTCCATTAGCTCAACTGAACCCAGTTGGCAGTGGACTCTTCCCTACAGCTATGACCATTGCCCTCCATCACTATGTAATAGAACAAAGGAACTCAAATCTAAATATAATTATTTTCCTCTTCCCTTTTGATGCACAGCTCTTCACAGTTTCACTATCAAATGTATTAAAAGGGTGTAGTAATGATTTGTTGGGTCTCTGGACCGTAATAAAGATTGATGATGAAAAGGGTGTAGTTAGGGAAACAGACTGGAAAGCATACAAAAATATACCTGTACTTAATCCTCTCTGCCACACTTAATGAGTCACTTGCTGTACTTATTCCCTGAGCGGGCCTTGCAAGGATTTTGTTTTCTCCCTAGGCAGTCGTTCCATCAAGAGATTCTAAAACTTAAGTGCAACGGAAGGCACTCGTCAAGTTCAGAGATAAAGGGTTTGTGTGTTTAAAAAATACCTTGCATCTTATTTTAAGAGCTCAAATGGGGTAAACCTTTGTCCGTGACCCAAGAATGTTATCACGAGTATACAAAAAGTTACCCCCATTTTAATATGACAGCAGCAGGCAGAAGCTGCTGCTTTGACCACTCAGGACCATTTTCCAGTCATAAATGATGCCGAATTAAGTTCCTGTTACTTTGCTGTCTGTGGCAACTTCAAGCCACTCTGCTGCAACAGTAAAGCAGCTGGAGAAGGAGAGGTAAGCAGAGGTCAGAGAAAGGACTGCGAGCAGAGGGGTGTCCTATTTGCCATTCTTTGGTCCTCATGGGAAACTCATAAAACTAAATGTGATGCATTCTAGAGTGGCTAAATGAGAAACAGCTGTGGGCAACCTGAGGCAGCTCCATCTCCCTTGGTGGCTACCCATAAAAGCAAGTCTTGACCAGGTTGATGTCAGCAGGTTCCAGGAAACCTTGTAAGATGGGTGGTTGGGTGGAGTCATGGTAAGAGTCAAGAGGATGAGTGGCATTGAGTGGAGAAGTGTGTTGTGATGACACTAATAACAGCATACATTAGCAATTAATGACTTTTTTAAAATAACAATTTATTATAAATATTATGTAATATGTCCGTTGCTGTTTTAGTTTTATGTACATATTTTTTATATAACAAGTGCTATGGGCAATGATCTAAATAAGCAAGCAAACAAAACGTTAACCTTAAATCAAATTATTCAAAACAGTCCTTAGATACTTTCATTATTAATTAAATCATTGACCTGAAGAAATGCTTACTGGACTGAGTTCAGTGACATCCCATTCAAGATATTCTGCAACGTGCATCATCTGAGCGATAATGTTTTCCAGTTCCTAGGCATGAAAGCAAGATACATGATCCTTGTTAAACATACTTACAAAAATGCTTGTTAATTTATGAACATTTCTCCTTGAATTTAATGAAGTTAACTGAATTCTTTTAACACAAACTAAACAGGTATTTTAAAATTTAATTGACAATGTTTTTTGGGTGTTGTTTTTTTTGGGTAAAACAAGTATTAAACATTAATTCATCTTGTTGAAATAACATAATAACATTTTAGAATTTTTGTACTGGAACATGACTGAAAGCAGAAAGGGACTACAGAATCAAGCAGGGTTGGCAAGTATTGATGGTACCACACAGAAAGATCCATTTCTTGTTTAAAAGCCAGTTCCACAGATCTAAACATATATGGGGTAAGGTAATCCTTCAAGTAAACTAGTTTCAAGCTGTTGAGAGCTTTATATACCAACAGTAACATCATGCACTGTTGCTCTCAGGAAAAACTGTGCAAATAAACATGGCTGTCTCTGTGGAGTCATGGAGGCAAATAATTATTTCTTTCTGCACAACTACATACAGCTTAAGTGCTTCATTCCAAGCTGCCACTTGAAAACTTTTTTTAAAAAAAATATGTTTATTTTCTTGCCTTGCTTATACAAATCCCTGTTTCATTTACATGGATTTCTTACATTGGCTTAAATCTAAAAGGTATTGTTCAGCAAGTGGAAAGAACTTCCTCACAAAGCAGTGGTTTTGTGAGATCACTTTGGTGATTTGTTCAGTGAGACTTAGTTCCTACTGACATCAGTTATGACTCAACAAGTGCAAACAGCTTAGTCGGGAACAGCTTAGTCAGGATCAAACTCTACAGCTGCAATTTTGATGAAACTATCTGTTGCGTATTTAACACAAACACCTGCAAATTCTTACAAATTCTCTGTTTCTGTCACATTACAACATTAACAAATGCTGCTATGAATTAATAAAATTACCGAGCTATCCAGGAAACCATTCCCATCTGTGTCATACAAGCGAAACATAACTAAGGAGAAAGAAAATATTAAAACCATTATGTAAGAAAGCAATGAGCTCATATTTTTAATTTACGTCATCAATAGACCAGAACCCTACTCAGAATTAAGCTATACTAAAACCAATGGTAGAATTTACCATCCTCCCACATACTGCCACCATTTGCAGAAACATTTGGTGAAGGGAGCTGTAGTCTAACACATCTGAATGACCACAGTTTCCACAGCCTTGACTTAAGGTTTCACCCGAATCAACCTACCATTTTTTTCTGAATGAGGGCAACCACATATATTTTAACTCCGTTTTGAGCAATATTTAAATATTAAATATTTTAAAAGCAAGAATCTGTAATGAAACAGCAAATGCCCAACCTGGGAAATATTCACTAGAAGTGTCAATTCCCTTCCCCACCCTATACCCTCCCCTTGAAAAAACAGATTAGATCAATCATTGCAATCACCTATCATATGTACGTTGGAGACTTGTACACATTTTACTTCCCCTCATGGCTTATTTCTTTTTTAAAAAATAAATAAATCATATTTTTGTACAGAAAATGAATTTATATGCATCACATGTGAACTGGGTAATTTACAGGTATAGCCAATGTCCACGTTTCTTGTAGAGTCATCACATGACTTCATAGGCCAGTTGTATCTGAGAGTGCTTAGCACACACATTCTTTGAGTTCCATAAATCTATAACCAGGGGACAGCCTGGGGTCCATGTGTGCAGAAGGAAAGCAGTTTCTGTGAACCAGTCTTAGGCCCGGTTTGCATTCTATGATAAAAGCCTTGTAAAGTAAAATAAAATAAACCTTGGCTTAACATGCACAGGTGCTTTGCTTCTCTCCCACTCCTACTGGGCCACACAGGCAGCCACAAACAAACAAGTCAGAAGTAGCATAAGGCAAAAAACAAACCTTGGCTTGCCACTCATGTTATATTTGGAGAGAAGCAAACCAGGAGCCTAGGTTGGGACAACACCACAAGCCAAACTTTTGTTTGTTCTTCCCCTGCATGGCACAGCTAATGTGTCAGGTGGGAGAAGGCAAGCACTCATGCACATTAAACCATGGTTTATTTTAAACTGTAGTCCAACAGGGCATTGCAAACCAGGCCTTAAAAATCCATCCATCCATCTCCCATTCATGTACATGCACACTACGCATTTTAATAAAATATAACAGAAAGGATCACACTAAGAACACAATACAGTTGGATCCATATGAATGAAATAGTCTTCATGATCTTCAGAAAATAAACTGCTTCACATGACATCCTTAGGCAAGTTATGTACTTTACAAACAGGACAAGTGTGTGTGTGTGGGGGGGGATCTTATCTCTCAGCTTGCAGTGAACCTGAATCTCCAGCAGATAGAGCCTACCGTCTACAATTTCACAGCAAATGTTATTAACAACCCATACCGCTATCAAGTGCATCAAAGACCTGAAAACATTCAAGATCTTGAGGTTTTAATGAAAGGAGAGTAGTTCAGTCAATATTACACACTTTTAACTCTTACTGATTTTTAAAGGAGGAGAAGGTCGGGACCCCAAAGGGCTTAACTAGATAGACTGAACGTTTTGGTCCACAATTTGCATAATGGGTTTATTTTGCGGGTACGGCAACCTCTCTCTTTGAGTTGCTTTTTACATTTAAATGACATCATGAGCTCAGCCGTACTTGCAGTCTAATGGAACAAAGATCCATCTTTGGGTTCCAACTGAGTTTGGATCATTTCCATTCTACAGGTAGCAAAACATCATCTGGTAAACAAACTGCTTCAACAACCATTGATAATGGGTGATATCCAACAAGTTGTAATCAGAGGAGATTCATTGAAACCAATGGATTTAAGTCAACAGATTTATATGGGTCTACTATTGGATGTTGCCCAGGTGCTAATGGTCAGGCCCTTGCCTCTCAGAGCTTTTCTACAAAATGAGCTGAAATCAGTTTTATTAATCCAACATCTTTTAAGTATGTTAATTGTCAAAATCTGAAAAATCAGCTGATGCAGGGTTTGTGAAAATGTATCATGTCATTTTCATGTTAAGTTGATCACATTGATGAGTATGGGCTAGGATCAAATATTGATGTTACATTTTTTTATAAAGTGGGAAATTTGTGACATTCTGGCATTTGAATTTTCATATTTGATTGAATTCAATTAACTTTTACTCATTGTAGACCCACTGAAATGGGTCCAAAGGGTGTACTCTGAGTAAAACATCTCTATTTACAAATGGTGATCCAAATAAATAGGTACTTGAGTTTATAAAACCTAAGACAGAAAGATGAAAGCAAAGCTTCAGAAAATCAATTTTCTGAAAAATCAATAGAGTGGTACCTTGGGTTAAGTACTTAATTCGCTCCGGAGGTCCGTACATAACCTGAAACTGTTCTTAACCTAAAGCACCACTTTAGCTAATGGGGCCTCCCGCTGCTGCCGCACCGCCAGAGCACGATTTCTGTTCTCATCCTGAAGCAAAGTTCTTAACCTTAAGCACTATTTCTGGGGTGGCAGAGTCTGTAACCTGAAGCGTATGTAACCTGAAGCGTGTGTAACCTGAGGTACCACTGTAGTCACATTATAGATATCTTCATATATGGGTCAACAAGCCTTGAATGGAGATTGTAACAAATTGTCATAAACATCTTTTACACCTCAAATTTGCAACAATTAGATACAACTGCCATTGGTTAACTGAGTTTAAAACACACACACAAAACCAGCATGGATATACTTTACGTATACTACATACATTCTAGTTTGTCTTCAGGTCTTCCTCTTTCAAGAAGGGAAAGATAACAAACAATATCTTTCAAGTGGATAACTTCTGGTATGTGCAAAGTGGAGGGCGGTGGGCGAGATGGTGTCATGCTTTTAGTAATTCGCAAACCTGAAATAATATTCACATTTTTTATTTTAAGAAAATGCTTACCAATAAAACAGAACTTTTTAAAAATGACTTCCCACATTTGATTTCCTGCCCAGAAAAACTTATTTCTCCCTGTAGCATCTGTGAAACCTGTCACCATTTTTTGTACCAATGATGGGCAAAACCTAGAATGGAGAACCACAGCCTCCTTTGGGCAGATCCTGTCTCTGGAGGGGCCCTCTCTAGCCTCCTTCACCCCCCACTACCCAAGTGAGCTTCCAGGGAGTGGTAGATTAGCATTTCCATTAGAAGGGAGGAAAACAGCAACAGAGGAATCTTTTCAGTAGCTGCTTTTCTTTCTTGCTAGAGACTGAGAAAGTGGCAGAAGAGTGGAGGGAAGTTGGAGAACAAGAGGATAAAGTTCAGCTAGGATAATAAAAAGGGAGAACAACGAATGCGGTATTCTATGTTCTGCTATTCCCACCAGTTTTTCAGATACAAATGTGAGGAAGAGAATAGCAGCTCTCCCAAACACCAAAGATGCCTTAACTCCTTAGCCTGGTGGAAAGCATCAGTTGAAAGCACCCTGCTGTTAAACACCTAAGAAGGGACAGGTACAGTTCTGGAAGGCAGGGTTAAGTGCAAGTGTAGATGGATGGAGAGGAGAGTCAGAAAGACCCCAGTCCATTGATACAATGATAAACAGTCATTACTTCTCCCAAAGAATCCTGGGAACTGGTTTGTTAAGGGCGCTGAGAGCTGTTAGAAGGCTGGTTTCCCCATTATAAAAACCACAAACTAGAGCTTTTAACCATGCTCATAAGCATCTCTCTCTCTCTCTCTCTCTCTCTCTCTCTCTCTCTGTTTGACACACACACACACACACACACAGAGAGAGAGAGAGAGAGAGAGAGAGAGAGAGAGAGAAACTTTTGTTTAACACCCAGCTTAATGAGGAATTTCAACAAATCAAAAGGTTTCTCACTTCTTTTGTTAGGTGTCCAAATGTTTTTAATTAACAGTACTATGCTACTGGTTCTTTGCTCCGCAGGTTAACTGAGAATATTTGCACCTTCATGTAAACTTACCTGCCGTTATTTTTTAAAACAGCATAGTATAACTTGAATGTGCAACTTTTGTCTTTGAAGGCAATTTGGACACAAAAAGCCCTCTTAGAACACACCATTTATTTGCTTAGTGCAAGGAACAAAACCTAGTACATATTAATTAACAGCAATCCCCGGACAGCACATTATCCAAACAAAAACAAGACAATTAAAGTCCTTGTACAAGCAGTACAAGGCAGTAATACAAATACAATCTGGTCCCAGTAATTTCAATGGGCATTGAGTGCTGGAAGGAAAAAAAAAACCCTAAATAAGAACTAAGCTGTATACTGAAGCACCCCAGTCCTTGTGCTTCAATAGAAAATGCAGAGGCCTACTATCCATGTAACTTTCGGTACTTAATGAATATTGTTGTGAGTTTGTGTGGGGCCAGATTCGCCTAAATTACTGGGTACCAGATTCATCCCATAATGCGCTGCTCTGGTTCGCCAGAAGCAGCTTATTCATGCTGGTCACATGACCCAGAAGCTGTACGCCGGCTCCCTCGGCCAATAAAGTGAGATGAGCGCCGCAACCCCAGAGTTGGCTGCGACTGGACCTAATCGTCAGGGGTCCCTTTACCTTTTTAACCTGGATGTAGTAAACGTCAGATCTAATCAAGTTCTGATTAAACCTTGCTAAACACAGAACCCCCTCCAGATTTAGTTATGCTAACAAAGCCAAGTCAACTTGTCAGTGCCAGCTGGATAGCCCATTAGCTGGAAAGGCCAGTGGTGGCCCATCAAGGAAACCATTAGAGGGCAAGAGTGCCAGCCAAGGGGGAGTGGGCCCCATTATTTCCTGTGTGCTAGTTGGCAGATGCAAAGCACAGGTTTAGCATTTCAACTTTGAACTATGTAGGCTGTGGGGAGGCCCCTAGTGTTGGTTAGCAGGTAGGAAGAGGAGGTGGAGGGGGCAGAACTCCATGTGAACTGGGGAAGACAGACTGGAACGAAGAGACACAGAGGATGGCTTTTCACTGTCCTTTGAATCCAATGCTGCCCTTAGGTGGGAAGCCAGAACCTCATAGGATGTGAATGCTCTGCAATCCCGCCATCTAGGGTCAGATTGTATATATGCCTAAATAAAAGCCATATGTCATAAAGACATCACAGTCTCCGCTGTGCCTCATTGTCCCCAAAGGGAACACAGACCCTGGTAAGCATGCCTGCAGCCTCTGGAATCTTGCAATGCTCATGGAGATTGGGGCAGATTGTAAAAATATTAAGAGAGTAGGTGAATAAAACACTGGGAAGCACCTATGAAGCTTGGACCTAAGGTTGTCCACTGAGCATCTCAGGGGTTGAACTACATGTCCTGATTCTGCTGAAAACATTGCTTTGAGAAGAGTGGTTTGGATTGGAAAATCAGCTGGGGGTATTAGCCATTCCCCTGTCAAATTGTTGCCCGAACAATGCTCCTACAACATTTCAAACATGTATTTGTTAAAGACTACATTCAGTACGGCTAACTCCAGCAAAGCTCCTGGCGTGACCCTTTATCCCTCTCTGCCCAAATTGAAGTTGTGACTGCTGTTTTTCTCCCTCTCCCACTAGCTGAAGGCTGAGTCATCCCTAAAAGATGTGAGTCACTAAGGAGTATTAAAGCCTTTTCATTAAATCCTCGATCAGGTGGCACGTTAACCAAAACTATAACGATAGGTCCAGTGATAACAATAACAAAGAGAGCCAAGCACCACGTTTTATCTATTTATTTATTGTTTACTTACCTCCTGGAAGGAGCGGGGGCTTATTCTTTACCATAGGACTACTATAAGGGATTTTGCTGCCAAATGAGGTAAATAGGTGCTCACAAAATTCTTCTGGGAGGTCAGCCTCCAGGAAAGTCTTCATAAATAACTTGAATCCTTCTAAGTCAATTGTCTGTAGAAGAAGACAGGGAATTATCTATACCTGAGTATTTTAGGATGAAACGTAATGTTTTGTTTTGAAAGGTGGCACATAAATTTCTAAAAATATATAAAGATCATTGAGGCACAAAGCCTCTATTACACATGGGATGTGCACACATATGACCATTTTTCAACTGACACTGAATTCAATCAATCAATCAATCAATCTTTATTACGGTCCAGAGACCCAACAAATCATTACAAATCAATACACAATTCATACAGCCTACCTCCAGGTTAAACAAGCATTTTGTTTAGAATATAGGGCTCATTTGTTCTTGCAACCACCGATAAAAACTTTGCCACTGCTAACGTTCTAGCATTTGTCTGGTCTTCCAGTAGGAACCTGACATAGTGAGCCTCTGATTTTCCCGGGAAAGGTACCAGCAAGGGTAGTATCAGTTCAGCCCTGGCTTGCTCATATTTTGCACAATGCAACAAAATATGTTTTATGGAATCGATGTCTTGAGCGCACAAGCAAAGTCTGTCCTGGCAGGGAACTCCTCTCAACCTGCCAGACACTGAATTCTATATTTCTTTTATACTTATTGACCCAGTTTGTATGTCACAGCAAACCAGACAATGATTCACAGTGAACACACCTATCTGAGCTGTCTGTTTCCTCCACATACTAGTGAGGACAAGACAAACCATGATCCCTGGCCTTAGTGTTATGTCTAAACCAGAGATAACACTTGTTTCACTCCAGCACCCTGCAATGCAGGAATCACAACTAAAGCATCCATGACAGATGGTCACATGTTTAAAAACTTCCAATGAAGGAGAGTCCACAACCTCCCAAGGGAGTCTGTTCCACTATCAAACAGCTCTTACTGAAAGAAAGTTCTTCCTGATGTTTAATCAGAATCTCCTTTCTTGCAACTAGAATCCATTGGTTTGAGTACTACTATCTGGAGCAGGAGAAAAGAAGCTTGCTCCATTTCCCATGTGACAGCCCTTTAGATATTTGAAGACTATCAGCACATCTCCTCTCAGTCTCCTCTTTTCCAGGCTAAACATACCCAGCTCTCTCAACTGTTCCTCCTAAGGCTTGGTTTCCAGACCCTTGATCATCTTGGTTGCCTTTCCCTGCACATGTTCCAGCTTGCCAATATCCTTCTTAAATTGTGGTGCCCAGAACTGGAAACCGTATTCCACGTGTGGTCTGAGCAAGGCAGAATAGAGTGGTATCATTACTTCCCTTGCTCTGGACACCATACTTTGGCTGATGCAGCCTAGGATAGCATTAGCTTTTTTTGCTATTGCAAATGGTAAAAGGTAAAGTACCCCTGGACGGTTAAGTCCAGTCAAAGGCAACTACGGGGTTGCGGCGCTCATCTCGCTTTCAGGCCAAGGGACCTGGCATTTGTCCACAGACAGCTTTCTGGGTCATGTTGCCAGCATGACTAAACCGCTTCTGGTGCAAAGGAACACCATGACAGAAACCAGAGTGCATGCAAACACTGTTTACCTTCCCGCCAAAGTGGTACCTATTTATCTATTTGCACTGGCGTGCTTTCAAACTGCTAGGTTGGCAGGAGCTGGGACAGAGCAACAGGAGCTCACCTCGTTGTGTGGATTTGAACTGCCAACCTTCTGATCGGCAAGCCCAAGAGGCTCAGTGGTTTAGACCACAGCACCACCCGCATCACTGTTGACTCACACAACCCAATGACAAGCACTGGACACACACACCCCACCCCTCCAGCAATAGTCAAACTCTTAACTGTCTATGGTTCAACCCTGTTGATGCTGATTTTTGTGGGTGTAGCAGGAGGAGGGAGGGAAACTTATTAAGTACTGATGCTAAAGGTGCAGCACTTCTCCATCACACAAATTTCATCCTTGGTCTTCTAAACAACAATATTAGAAAATAGCAATCTGTTTTACATACTTTTAGATTAAGACTGCAAGTTCTTCCAGTCCGGTAAGGAGCAACTTCTTATTTGTATGAAGGCAAAGAATGCAGTACACAACACCAGAATACAAAGCTAATGAAATAGCAGACTCTGCATCTGTGATGTCTTGGAAGAAATATCCTGAGAGCAGTTTTAATGGGAGAGGTAAGCTTATTCATTTTTACAGCTGGTGGTCAAGAATAGTCATCCACTTCATTATGTCCCTGCGTCACCAAGTTTGTGGGAACCATGTGAGGTAAGAATTATTAGTCCGCACTGTCCTCTAAACACATCCACACACTCCTGCTCTGTGTGTCATGGCAAACACACTAAAAATAAATTGCAATATCTATATGCAAACAGCTACAAATAATGGAATACCTCTTTTCCCTAATTGCAAGGGAAAGCAAGCAAGATGCCTTTGCCCTACATAGTCCGACAAAAGCACAGCCACCATAATCATAAATGAAAGCAGTATGAGAAGAGAGGGGTGGTGAATCATAGTGAAATCATTTACGACACCCATAACAAAAAACCATGTCTGGCAGAATATTATTAAGCATGTCAATAAGAGTGATACATGCACAATGACTTTCAGGCTGCACAATATATTTTGTTGAAGCATCCTTATAAAGTTCCTTTAAGCATGCACCTACTCTGTCCAAGAGGCTGATGACTAGTAGGTATACAAATACAAAGGACATAGTTCCTCATTCTCGGGGTGTACAATGTGAAAGTAGCCAAAGGAGGTTCAAAAACATGCAAGACAGTATACAAAGAAATATATTTCTATTGCTCTAACTTAGTCTATTCTTTCCCACACTCTTAGGTGGAATCTACACACATATAAAAAACGCTGTGAAAATGCTTTTTTGGGAAAAAAAAGTTTCAAAAAATACATTGAATTTTGCATAGCTCACTGTCGCCATCTAGTGTCACATTTGTATATTTCACTTTACAACACATTTGAAAAGTTTTATTTGCAGCTGTGTAACTTCGAAAGCACGTCAAAGTGCAAGTAGATAAATAGGTACCGCTCCGCTGGGAAGGTAAACGGTGTTTCCGTGTGCTGCTCTGGTTTCACCAGAAGTGGCTTAGTCATGCTGGCCACATGACCTGGAAGCTGTACACCAGCTCCCTCAGCCAATAAAGCGAGATGAGCACCGCAACCCCAGAGTCAGTCACGACTGGACCTAATACAGGACTGGACCTAATACCTTGAAGCCATTCTACAACCAATGAGGTTGATTTGGATTCTCAACCAATCTACTTAAATTGGCTCTCCCCCAACCTCTTCTGAGGCACAATTCAGCATTCACACTCTATTGACTGGACCTAATGGTCAGGGGTCCCTTTACCTTTTTAAACTGAGTCCTTACTCCTCAAAATGGGACCACAAAATAGGAGCCAATCTATCTCACTATCAAGAGACCTTTCTAAGTTAAGGGGTCATTATGAACAAGGGTGTTCACAGGTGACAGGGTAGAAGAACATCTCATTCTACAGATAAGGACTTTGACAAAAGCAAGTCAGACACACCAGCTTAAAGCCACAGTTTTACAAAATATGGACCAAGACAATGAATCACTAGTCTCTAGTTCCAACAATATCTATAAGACCCAGTGTCATGAATTAAGCTTCTCCCGCTATTCTGTGACTGGAGTTTATAAGGATAATTAGGCAACTAGATAATGCATTTCATGTGAATTCTGAAAATCTGATTTTTCATATACATAATGCTCTATCCATCTCTTTTGAAAAATAAATAACATACAGTCCAGTCCTGATCTCCACGAGTATTCCAATGTGCACAGAATGCTATTATAAGTAGGTTTACTTACTCCATATAATACTGGAGCTGTTCTGTACATACCACAAGGATGCAATCTTAACAGGAAAGTTCATGTATACGACAGCACAATGGAGACCCTGCCTTTGCAGGGTCCAACAAAACATGTGTGTCTTCACCTTTCACACAAAACAGCGGCAATAAAGTCTATTCATGAGTTTCCCAGCAAACAATGGTGCGGGTGGGGGTGGGGTGGAACAGTCTGAAAGTGAAGTAACCATGAAGTCAATATTCTACATTTTCTGTAACTGTATTATTTTTGCAGAGGTGCATGCAACTAGAAAAAAGTATCAAGAGTTCTGCAAAGCTCCAAAAATCAGTAACATGCCAGATACATTATAAACAAACAAAAAACCACCAACGGTGCTTACTTGTTTAAGAATATCTTGCTTCTGGGGTGCATGAAAGAAAAGAAAAATATATAAATAATAGTAATACAGTCCAGCAATTCTGAATTTCTGTTCTTAAAAAAACAGCTGAAAGTCTTTTTACAACTATGAAGATCAGAAAGTAATAATGTGGTAAGTGATAATAAGTCTCTTTATATGTCGTTAGTAATAAGCACAAAGAAATTGCTCTAGCACAAACTAATGAATGGTATAAACTTTGGATATCCCCTTTTTTGGCCATGTAGCAATGTCACTTCATTTGCATATGAATTAGCACACCAGGAAGGCACACGTTACCATGTCTGGTGTGGGTCTGGAAAATCGCTAATGTTGCAGGAGTACGATTGAAGGGTCCAGCTGAAACAAGACCCCAAATGGGTAAGTTCTGATTATTGCTTGTTTCCACCATTTTTAATGTAGGTGTGCAAGGAACTGCTATATTTGTACTGAGTGTTCCCAGTGACCAGGCTCCCTTTAATGATCTAATTACACCCAACTCTGCCCAATTTGACAAAGGTGAATCTCTCTCTATGGTTCTAAATGGGATTCAGCAGCATCTCACACTCATCATCGCAACCATCCAATGATTTCATTCCCATTTTACAGGTAAGGAATTGAATGAAATATTGCACACATGACCACAATCAGGATATGGCTCAAAACTGCCACACAGCCACATTTAGGTTCTGTATGCAAGGCACCACCTGCCTATAAGTTATATGCATGTGGGCTCACTGCATGGTCTTGCCAAAATCATGGGCACAGAATCCACATAGGTTTATTCAGTTCACAAAGCAAAAATCATGCATGGAGGGTGGAGACCAGCAGCAAACCCCCCCCTGCAGCTCTTTGCATAGGGCTGTTGATTTGCCAGAGTCCAGCTTTAGATCAACTGGAGCACAAAGTGTCAGGCAACTTTAGAAATTGAAAAGAGAGCAGAGAAAGTAATCCTGCAGAATGCAAAACATTAATTTCAATCAACTAGTGCAAATATCTAAAAGTTAGAAAAGACAGACAAAGTTACCCCTTCAGGATTGTACTTTGCTAGGACACCATCACCATGGAATTCTTCCAAAACATCCTTAATTTTCTTTGTAGAATCTGCAAAAACAATGACGGATGACATCAATTTATTCATCTTGTACAAAACAAGGAATACAAAGTACAGTATATTTAAATCAGTCATCCACCCCAAAACCAAAGCCTGTTTTCAACAAATGTTCAAAATTTCAATCCTCCAAATGAACAGAAGGAAAACCAACAGAATGGCAGAAGATTTGTTGTTGTTGTTTAGTCGTTTAGTCGTGTCCGACTCTTCGTGACCCCATGGACCAGAGCACGCCAGGCACTCCTGTCTTCCACTGCCTCCCGCAGTTTGGTCAGACTCATGTTTGTAGCTTCGAAGACACTATCCAACCATCTCGTCCTCTGTCGTCCCCTTCTCCTTGTGCCCTCCATCTTTCCCAACATCAGGGTCTTTTCCAGGGCAGCAGATTAGATAAACATTAATGAATAACAACACTTGCATAGGCTGAATTATAAACATTAATGCTTATCGCAGCAGTTATTTAAAGGTTACTTATTGCTGCCTAAATCATACTACTACAATACTATCCACAATATAGAGTGAGTACCAACAGAATGATACCCAAGGATTCCCAGACAATATTGAAGCAAAATCCTTTTACAGTAAGTCCTAGAGAAAAAAATAGGTTTTTCCAAGAACAGCCAGAAAAAAAATAGCAGTGCTTTGTCCCATCCTTCATCAGAGATGTCTGGTAGAAAAGCAAGGACAGGAGGCATGGGGATCACAAGGAGCCTAACATTATGACCCTATAGGAAACGTTTAAGATTTCAGAACCACAAATGAGGAATAGCAAGCTTAGAAGAACAAGAGGTCAACGAGTTTATAATCTAAAAAGAAGAGCAATATATAATTACTAATAGGTGGTGGAAAATGTAAACTGGAACCTAAAATTCGTGAGTTACATGAAAATGTAAACTGGATCACAGAAGTCTTGAGTAGAATTGTTTGGAACAGATTTTGTAAATATTTGGTGACAATGCCCTAGAATCATAATACTGTACTAGAAAACGGATATTTTCGTGACTTACAATATTTCTCAGTTATCTGCTTCATAGTGTTCTTGTGTTTATACTTGTACACAAATTGCAACAGCTGGTGTTTTAATTATTAGTTTCAATCCTTAGTTCTTTAGACGTGTTTGCATTTTATACTCAAAGGCTAGTGGCTGATGCAAATGGCAGCCATAGCAAAAGCAGTTCAGCCAGAGACTGTGGCGCTGGGGGAGAAAAGGGGGTGAACATTTTCTCTCTGTTCCATGGTCTCAATGAAAGTTGCACACGCAAAGTGATGCTACTTGCCACGTTAGGGGAAACTTGCGCACAGAATGCAGGTCAAAGTGTCAAAGTAGGGGTTTTTGTGTGTCTTACATGTGTGAAAGAAATTTATCAGGGTCAGCCTTCTCCAGCCCAGATGTTATAGATTACAACTCCCATTAGCCTCAACCAGCACGGCTGTTGTTATAGTCCAAAATACACGAAGGCCACCAAGTTGGGGAAGGCTCATTTAAACTAAAAATGAACTCCATTCTTGATTCAGTATATGGAACCATGAAGTCTCATAACCTAAATAAACATTCACTATCAATGGTACCTTACAAATTTAGAACTGGTTTGTAAAACATGGACACCGTAAGTCTGCATGATGCATTGGAATTTAAATAAATTGTGCTATCTAGTTTTCAAATGCAGTGGATGTCCAGAAGGACGCAAATGTACAATTGTGTATACACAATGCCTGATTTTACCTTCCTTGCACTTCATAGGATGCTGCTTCCAAGGACTTCACAACTTTTGGGGGACATAGCAGCCAATACCAGAAGGCACCTAATATTACAAATTGCTTTGCATTCTGTTGATGTGAACATCACAAATTTACTGAGTGGCAGTACAAGTTTCAGAAAATCAGGGATTGCAACAATTTAAGTATCAATTACAGTGGTACCTCAGGTTAGGAGGTCCATTCTTAACCCGACACTGTTCTTAACCTGAGGTACCACGTTAGCTAATGGGGCATCCCGCTTTTGCCATGCGATTTCTGTTCTCATCCTGAAGCAAAGTTCTTAACCCGAGATACTATTTCTGGGTTAGCGGAGTCTGTAACCTGAAGTGTCTGTAACTTGCGGTACCACTGTATCCATAAAACAAGAACAAAAATCAAGTAGCTTTTAATTTACTCCCTATATCCTGTTTCCAAACCTATGGGGTTTTGTGAGGGCATAACGTTTGTTTTTATTTTTTTGACAGGTTTGCAATCTAATTTTCCAATATTATTTTCAAAGTGATTTATGCTGCAATCCTAACCTCCCCCGCCCCCACCATGCCCTTTATCTGGGAGTAAGCCTCATTGAATTCAAGGGGACTTACTTCTGAGTAGACACAGTTGGGATTGTGCTGTGATGTATGTGCTGGTACTTTCTGGATGTACAGAAAAAGCAAGTGCCCATCAAAATATGCCCCCCCCCAGTGCACAAAAGGCAACAAGTTCTCTTTAAGAGCAAAGAGTTGCCACTGCTATGGCTTCAATTTATTGAATTAAGAATCTGAATTCTAATCCCACCCACAGCAAGTGGAACTCTAAAATACCGAAGGAAATGGAGAAATAAGAATTCTTCCAGTTAATGGCTGTATTTACAAGCAACCCCCTCACTTAATTAACAAGAATGGGGATGGAGAGGTTAGCAAACAATTGCAAAATGAACCTCAAACCTTCCTAATACAAGACATAAAAAAGGAAAGTTTTTTCCTCTGCTGTAAACTAGACTGTCTATTGCATTTTCTGAAAGCAGAGTTTTTATTATGTACTTTCATTTATGTGTATGCCTTGCGAAAATGTCTACACAGCAAACTGGATAGATGCAAGGTATAAAAAGTGCTAACCCAAAGTGAGAGGATGTGGGCTGATTTATATCAGTTGCATCTCAGAAATGTCTTATATTATACAAAAAGAGTTAACAGGCTGCTTGCAATAAACAAACAGCGCTGGCTTCATATATCTTTCCTTGTTTCCGAGGGTAATTAATATGCTGCAACCACAATGGTTAGATCAGAATGAAGTGTGATGTCAAATTTGTTAGGAGAAAGGGAGAAAAATAGCTTCAAAATTTTCCAGTGAGAAAGAGCTAAAAGGTTTTGCATATACTGTACCTAGAATACGTCATTCAGTCACTTTAATAGCAGTTTCTTTTCAATTTACATTAGCTGGGCTTGAATTGAATTTCAAGGCTGGATCAAATTTTGCCCAGTGTTCTGAACAAAATGTCAAAGAGCCAACTTTATCCTAGTCAAACCAAATTTTAGAAACAGAACACTTTTTAAAAAAAAAGAAAAATAAAGCTATCAAGACGATTCTGGGATTCCAGGTTGTGTCCCAAAATTGGTTTCCTTGAAATGAAGAGGACAGGTTTATGGCATTTCTATGATGTAAGGTTTTATTTACATATGCATGGAGGCTGAACATAAGATAGAAATTTGCAACATTAAAACCCCAGCAGATCCTGTTCTCCCATTAGGTTTCTAGGCAGCTACAGTACCAGTGCCGTAGCACTGAATTGTCACAAAGAACAATCTTCTTTATTTCCCCCCCAAGACTGCCATTCTCTTCCCATTCTCTCTCTCTCTCTCTCTCTCTCTCTCTCTCTCTCTCTCTCTCTCTCTAACATCCACATCCACACACCCACACCAATGATATGACCTCTAGCCACAGGTTTCTAACCAGTGGACTTGCAGGACTCTATTTTCAGCAATCTCTCTCTCAACAAAGAGAAAATCTACTCCAGATTTTCTTTCCTTCTGCTTCAGATTAAGCTGCAAAGCCTCTGGATACATAGTCATCTAGCCTCCGGGCATACTTACTTGCCAGAGTACAAAATATCCTGGCCCCTAGAATGGTAGCTGGTGGTTTTATTGAAAACTTTAAACAGGCAGCAGAGGGATCGTAGAAAATTTAAGATTTCTTTTTATCTTGCCTTGGAAAAGCACAAAGGTATGAATGCATGAGCTACTCTATATATCATTTTCAGACTGAGCACATAGCCTCTTGAGCTCAAGGAAGGTCAATCATCACCGGATCAGGGCCACTTGCAGTGAACCAACAACCTAACTGAAATGTAGGCACGGAAAACAGATCTGGGCCTCTATCATCAGTTTTCAGAGGCCTTTCATTAACTGATACCGAGTTTTGGAAGAGTTCCCAGAAATGGGAACCTTTATGCATTCAAGAGTCTATTGTCAAGGCAGAATACACACACACACACACACACACACACACAGTTGTACCTTGGAAGTTGAACGGAATCAGTTCCGGAAGTCCGTTCAACTTCCAAAATGTTCAGAAACCAAAGTGTGGCTTCCTGCAGCCAATCAGAAGCCGCAGAAGCCCCGTCGGGTGTTTGGCTTTCAAAAATAGTTTGCAAACCGGAATACTCACTTCTGGGTTTGCGGCATTCGGGAGCCAAAACATTAGAGAACTAAGCTGTTTGAAAACCAAGTACAAACAGACACACACACAACTGAATAATTTCTCTTTTTCTCTCTATATATACGTATGTTTACTTACAAAAAAATTGTTATGTCAGCAAATTGCATTTGGACACTTTTATGTCTTACCTTTTCATATAGCTGAAAATTTTATACAAATACACAGAAATATAAAAGTTTTAAAAAAATTGAGTACTTACATTCTGCATACTTCTGAAGCTGAGAGAATTCCGAAGGACTGAGGTTAGCCCATTTCTCCGTGTTCATCATAATGATGGCAAAGTGCAGTTTACATACCAGTCTTGTTGTCTGCTTCAAGTGGAGGTAATCAAAAGACCCCCCCAGCAGTTTTTACAGTTTAGTTTCTCAAATTATCAGATATCCAGGAAGAAGAAAATCAATCTGCGCTAACTTCTAGATGGTGCCAATTTTCTGAAGCTTCTGGCACTGATGGTATATGAAAACACTGTTAAAAGAAAAGTAAAAGCCACGATTAGAAGATGCAGAAATGTGCATGTGCTGCTTTTGATGATATATGCTAAAATATTCCTAAACATTCCACGAGTATGGCAAATCATTTTTGTCTGGCACAACCACCAACAGCTTTAGACATGGGAAATTGCCAGACCTTATGCAGTTAGTTGCCCTCCAAAGTTTTATGCTTTATTAGGTACACTTTTTAGTTACACTTTTCAGAAGTCAACATTGCTGAAGATCAGGGCTGGAATTTTGACCCTAATATCATGACTGTCAAGCAGGTTTCACACACTGCATGAGAAGGAACTAGGATCTCTGGACAGCAGTAAGACTGGACCCTACTATATACTCATCAAATGACGTAACAACTTCATTTCAAATTATGGATGTTGAAGAATTCAGACAGAAACAGAAACTGCCTATGTTCTCTGACTCATCCCATGTCTAGAAGAGAAATCAATCCAGCAACTATGATTGGCATTCATTGTTGTCACTCTGCAAGCAATACATGACATTTCTCCCCATTTACATTGGGTTCCCTATAATTAGGTAAAACTCCACCACAGCAGCCAGTGAGATGAATGACATAGCTTTTCAGAAACTGGAGTGCAGCGGAACAGAAGCAAGGTACATGCAGCAAACAAGTTAGAATGGAAACCGATGGCTTCTTATAGCCGTAACTTCAAATACACATTTTAAACATATATTAAAAATTGATTGCACAGACGGTAATCCTTGCACTAACAGAACATTCAGGTAGCGCTACTTCGGATACAACCATTAAGATTCAAAAAAGTTCAAGAATGCAAGTTAAATCTGCAATGTGTTAGGAAGGAACACACTTTCAACAAGGATAGGAAGATTTTTTTATATAGAAAAATGTGAGCTGGAAAATATCCATGACATACTGCTCAATAACTTGCAGAGCAGAAGTAAAAGCTTACATAACATACAAACCAGACAAGGATGGTTAAGAATTAGAATGGTACATGTTGTGATAGGAACCTTCTTCAAACCTCTGTGCTACTTTTCCAGGGCTGTTCCAGTGGAATTTATGCCCCTATGCCAAGCATGCCACCTAATACTTCCCGTTATAATAAACTATTTTAGAGCTTTTCACCTCAAGGTGTAATACGGATGTGTCTCAATAGAAGCTTTCATCCTCTTTTATCCTAGTCTTTCCCCCAATTGTTTTATTAAAACAAGGATCCTACTGCACCAAAGTCAATAATTACTGAAGGAGTTCCCTTGGAGACTTTTATTTTCTGGATTCAGCATCTAAACCTGGCATTAATTAGTTGGCAAGCAGAATAAAGCACTCTCTCAGCTCAGCTGCACCTTTGCTTCCTAAATCATATTTCCCCCTCATATGCCAAGTTGTTAATTATTTTGAGATGTAAAAAAAATTGCAGTAAATGAACAAATGAACTGTAATAGTTCCAGAGGAACGGGATTCAGGTGAACAATACAGTGGTACCTCGGGTTAAGTACTTAATTCGTTCCGGGGGTCTGTTCTTAACCTGAAACTGTTCTTAACCTGAAGCACCACTTTAGCTAATGGGGCCTCCTGCTGCCGCTGCACCGCCACCACACGATTTCTGTTCTCATCCTGAAGCAAAGTTCTTAACCCGAGGTAATATTTCTGGGTTAGCGGAGTCTGTAACCTGAAGCGTATGTAACCCAAGGTACCACTGTAATGGTCAAAAGATTTCTCCCTTCTAAAGCACGATGTTGCATGTCATCCATTGCAGGGCTGGAGACAAGGGACAGAGTATGAGTGAAGTCTTTGGGAGGACTCTTGAGCCTTTGCAAAAGTCACATAATAGGCAGAAATTCAATTTGTGGTGCTTTCTGTCCCATAGAGGAGCATTTTTAAGGAAATTTCACCAGCTGGATTTCTGTCAACCATGCTGCTGTTACAAAGGCACAAGAGCTCTGTCATCAGAACAAAGAAAGTTAGTTTACTGAAGAGCATCTGGTAACTGTCGTAGGGAATCCACGGCTATGGCTACAGTCCCATGCATACTAGCACATAATATAATTGCCTAGTGTTCAGTAGTCTAGGTCAGGTATCCTCAACCTTTTCAAACCCAAGACCCACTTTTAACCCAAACATGCATTTAGGGACCTATATATTAATCTTTCATCATATATTTGTATGATGGTAGTCCTTTTGCTGAAGCTCACCAGTGGTCTAGTTGTCTCCCAAAAGTGGATGTAGGCATCTTATTACTTTCTGGATTTATCCTTCACTTTTCAAATAGAACATTGCCCAAGGTAGCATACAAAACATAGAACTTGAAAGGTTACACTAGAAAACAGCACATACAAACTATATAACTAGCACTGTAAACAAGCCACAAAAATGTCAGCAAGGTAAGAATTACCATCCTTCTAACAATGAACTTGTGTGGTCCCTTGCCTATCATTTTGCTGGTGAAACAGGGCCACCTAATCATAAGGTCATGGTTTCTGCGCACTCGAGGGACTCAGGTACACAAAAGGACATTAGCCTGCAAATTGCTATAATTTTTTCAAATGACTCGACAAGCTCACTCGCTTCAAGTACCTGTGGAATGATGAGTGCATATTGTGGGTTGGTGGAAAGAGAACAAGCCAGCCCGCTTGCAGCTGTAGCCACGATCTGGAGAGCGATATGCAACATGAGTTTATGAACAACACTGCTTCCTGCCCTGCACTTCTTTCAAGAGGAAAGAAATTAAAAAGGATACTCTCTCTCCCCTTTCTCCCTCTCCAGAAAACTCCCTAACCAGTTTCAAGAGTAGCAGCTAGCCTCAAACCTAAGCTCTTTAGATACAACACTGGGGAGGTTTCAGGAGGTGCAGCAAGAATAAACTTAACCCTTTCCCCGCTACAAAATTCCTGGGCTGGCTGGAGTCCTTAATAGAAATGGACCTGGTGATTCACTGCAATGCTTTATTGCTGGTCTCCGTCTGTATTTACTTATAGCTGGCACTAATACTAACTCAAAGCAGTCGGCTGGGCAGAGCATGATGGGGAGGCACTGCTCACCTGACTTTCTAATGTAGAGGTCACTGCCAGCAGCCAAGGGGGAGAGGGGTAGGGAGGTCAGTGTGGGACAGACATAGTGGTGGAGTCAATCCAACACACCTGGATAGCTCGGTTGGTTAGAGCATGGTGCTGATAATGTCAAGAAGAAGAGGAGTTTGGATTTGATATCCTGCTTTATCACTACCCTAAGGAGTCTCAAAGCGGCTAACATTCTCCTTTCCCTTCCTCCCCCACAACAAACACTCTGTGAGGTGAGTGGGGCTGAGAGACTTCAGAGAAGTGTGAATGGCCCAAGGTCACCCAGCAGCTGCATGTGGAGGAGCGGAGACGCGAACCCAGTTCACCAGATTACGAGTCTACCACTCTTAAACACTACACCACACTGGCTCAGTAGTCAAGGTTGCAGGTTCAATCCCCGTATGGGACAACTGCATATTCCTGCATTACATAGGGTTGGACTAGATGATCCTCAGGATCCTTTCAAACCCTAGGATTCTATTATCATCACACTATGGCTACCTCTCTGCAGCCTTATCCCCCTCTGCTGCCACCGGCAACCTCCACAATGGGAAGGCAGGTGCGCACTGAACATAACTATGCTGACAGAATGTTCTCCTATGCCAGGCATGTACACAACAAGGAGACATATTGTACTGACTGTACAAAGCTAGTAGCACAAAGATAGCACCCTTGGGAGGCTGTAGACTCAACTCTTACTGGTGCCCCAAACCTCTTCTCCTCTGATTACAGCAAGCTATAAAAAAGGGGAAAGAAAGATCTACAGTCAGTGCAGCTCATTCTGCCATTCGTCTACAGTTAAAATTTGAGGATGTTCTCTGGTTAATTAATATGTCAAAGGAGGAAAAGTTCACAATGGAACTTTCAATAAAATCATGGAGGCTTCATTTCAGGTTACGGTGAATTATTTTTCTGAAAACCAGCTTATTTTTAAATAGATGTCCCATGTAATTTATTGTTGTCTTAACACTTGATGCTATTAAAGCTACTACTGGGATTGCTAATTATATTACATTCCAGAGCTTTAATGTCAGCGTGCAGAGTTCAGTGACAGCCTGCTTCAGCAATTTAATAAAAGAGATTTCATTTGAACAAATCAGCATCAACATTCACATCAACAGCTGATCAAGAAGCTATTGTAAGCTCAGAGAAAGAAAAAGGAATAGGACAGACGCTCTTGTCTGGTAAAATGATGATGCTGTGTGTAAACCAGTCATCACTGACCATAGACATATTTAGACATAAATGATTTACACATATCACTGACCATAAAGCATGTTATTAGCCAAATTAGTCTGTGAACATGCTGCGTGGTTGTGCACCCCTCTCAATCCCTCCTCACTTTGTTTCTCCCCTCCTTGAGCAAGAAAACAAACCACTGAGCAGCTGACTTTGTATTACCTTAAATTTGGCTTCTCAATCAAAGTTCGTTGGGTGGGAAGAAGGACCACAGGTGTGTGTTAGGACATAACCGTAAACCAGCCACTATATAATTTGTTTTCCTCCTCAAGGAAGGAAGCAGCACAGCAGGGAGTATTCAAGCTACATGTACTACTTTGTCTAACTATGGCTTATAGCCAGCAATGTGTCCAAACAAGGCCAGTTCTTGGGTCAATGATGTAGAGAACAATAGAACCATTAGAAGCTTAAATGATAAATCTGGCAAATTAACTGCAAAGGAAAAAAGGTCTTAGAACGTTGGAAGAACATTATATGACTAAGAGATTCCAACATGAAGCAGGCAGGCAGGCAGGCAGGCAGGCAGGCAGGAAGGAAGGAAGGAAGGAAGGAAGGAAGGAAGGAATACAACAAATCAAATACTTTTGACAGATTTCTAGTAGGAATGGAGAGAGGTTAAAAAACATTGAAAACTCTTCCACACCTGCAAAAGTTTATCAGGAGTCAACTCAACAAACATAAAACTCCTTTCAGATGTTT